TCTATATAATAAAATGCTAATATGCAAATTGTTCCCTTGACCAGGAGTTCAGCCAGCAGCTCACGTCCCCTACCCCTGGCCAGGCTGGCCAGACCCCACCCAATGCACAAATTCATGCACCAGGCCTTTAAAAAAGAAAGAAAGAAATACACACACACACACACACACACACACACACACACACACACACACTGAGTGGCCAGATTATTATGCATTCAGAAATCATAATAATCTGGCCACTCAGCGTGTATTTAGAGTATCCTCCTTGTGTTCTACACCTCACCGCCTATTCTAATTTATTGCTTCTACCCTGAAACATCTGATCTCTCCATTTTGTCCTACATTTATAACATTTCTTTTCTTTTTCTTTTCTTTTTTTCTTTTGCAACTCCCAGCCTCTATACATTCCCCCCTCTACTTGGAACTCCCTTTGTCCAAATCTCCATCCGGCAAATGCCCATTCATTGTTCAATCCAGTTTAATCATCTGGATTGAACAGCTCCAATGGAAAGCTTTTCTCAGTTCTCTCATGCAAAATTGTAGCCACTGCGCCTGTGTCTGCAAAACACCCCATGCAAACCACTATCTTAGCTGTCAGTGCAATGCCATGTGATGCTTACTCACCTGCTAGAGATCCTCGATTTCACAGTCTGTCTTATTGATCTTTCTTTATTGAGTCGAGAGTGAGAAAGAAGCATCAATATGTTGTCCCACTTATTTATGCATTCATTGCTTGCTTCTTTTATGTGCCCGAACTAGAGATCGAATCCTCAACCTTGGCGTAGCAGGATGATGCTCTAATTAACCGACCTACCCAGCCATGGCTTCATTGATCTTGAATTTCCAACCCAGGCATTGTTGCATAAACCAGGTGTCTCAGACGTATTTATAAATTGTTGTCAACCACTAAACAAAGCTGTTGTATTATTTCACCATGATATTTTGATTGAGGAAAATGCAACATTTCAAGGATAACCTACCGATTCTCTTTCAGAAGCTGAAGGGTGTTGATCCCGTTTTTGCACTGGGAAATTTGAGGCAGAACCTGTTAAATAAAAAAGGAAACACTGAAATCATGATGTGAGCCTTCTAGAATATATGCCTTAGCAATGGCAGGGGTTCCTTCTTGAACCTTCATTGCATTGTGCATTAAATGTAGGCATCTTATTGATTCCCCAGTTGAGTTTTTGTATGAACATGTAGTTTTGTGCTCAGCCTCTATCCCAGAGTTACCATGGCTACTTCACTGTCTTCACTTATTTGCCCATTTCAAGGGTTCTCTCTAAGAACCAGTTGTTTTCTCTTCCAAAATAGGTCCTACATGTATCCATGATGACAAATCAGTAGGTAAATGGTATAATATAATGGGCAGCCAGCGATGTTAGCCTCACCCCACTCTCCAAACTCCCTGACAACAAATCAAAAAGTCCATGTATGCACAAAGAAGGCATTATTTCCTGATTTTTCAACTGTATTTCTCCCTTCTCAGAGTCACCATCCTCCAAAATGTCTAATGGGATTGTAAGTGCTTATTTGTGCATATTTAGCCTAGGTTATTGGCATCGTCTTCCATAAATATTTAAGCTCCATCAAGACTCCCACCATGAGCACTGTATATGCATTCTGCTCTATTTATGGGCTTAGTTGTTTAAAACATAGAAAGTCCATTTAAAATGTTACAAACACTGTTAAAGTAAAATGTCTCCACATGATTTCTCATTACTGTTAAATTTGATGTTTTCCTTTTAGAGCTTTTCTCGAGCACATACAGCATGTATATGTTGATCTAAAGCAAATTTATCTTAACAAAACCCACTATATTACTTAGAACAAGACCAAGTGAAATTGGGGACAGATATTCGTCATTCCCAAGACATAAATGGCACTCTAGTAGCAGCTCTCCTATCATTTTCTCCATTTCTTTTTATCTTAAAATGGCACTATCAGTGGTTCTTGACAAATAAAACTTTGAAACTGGTTTTTCAAGAATTGACAAGACACCGAAAATGGTTTGGCTCAGTGGATAGAGCGTCAGCCTGCAGGTTCAATTCCGGTCAAGGGCATGTACCTTGGTTGCAGGCACATCCCCAGAGGGGGGGTATGCAGGAAGCAGCTGATCAATGTTTCTCACTTATTGATGTTTCTAACTCTATCTCTCTGTAAAAAAAAATCAATAAAATATATATTTTTAAAAATAAAGAAAAAAAGAGAATTGGCAAGTTGATTAACAGGACACTTGTCAGTTTCTCTCTACAGGACAATTTTGTGTCCAATATTATATCAAGAAATTGAGCAAACAGTGGGTGGTTAAGCACTTATTAAATATCTATTTTAAGTCACTTTGGTACATATGTGTGTCCATATTTTACCATCTGTAAGAAATGGAAGATAGAAACACAACCCAATATTTCATAATGATCACTCTAATATGTTGGCATTTGGGGTGTTTGTAAATATCACGAAAACAGATAGGAGAGCCAAATTCATGTTCAGAAACGTGTCAATCATGCGTGTGGATTCCAGATTCAATATTCTACAGCAAAGACGCCAAAGAGAAAAAATGATTTTAAGATGTTGCATAAAGTGGAGAATTCTTGCATTTGTGTGTCACTCTGCACTTGTGTGGAAAGGTAACAAAAATAATTTTTAAGTGTATTGTTTAATCAACAAAAGCAAGCTTTCTTTCCTCTACTTTTTATAGTACCTTACTATGTGTGCACACCCATATAAGTTCAGTAAAGCTTGGCAGAATGAGCATTCATTTCCTATTTAAATATGATCTTTCTAGAATGTATCAAACATTTTCATATTTTATACATTTGGCATCATTAATTTCTCCCAGGAAGTTTCACAGAATAATGCCAACCTCCTCTCACCCATTTTTCATAAGTTTTGGAAAGACATCAAATTCCAGAGAAGCACTGCGTCAAAGACACTTTGAGAAGTCAGTGACTCTTCTAAACACAGCCCTGACCTAAGTGTCAGCACCACGGAGGACTGAGGTCTCCTAGGCTACCTCCATCTGCAAACACATTCCCAGTCCCCACACGCGGGCACACAGACAACTGCACTGCCCTCTCTGGATCCGCTTTGCTGTATCCCCATGGCTTCGTACCCTGAAGGCTCTGGAATGGCTGCCTTCCCAGGGGCACAACTCCGTTTGCTGAGTGTCTGAGCAACAAGCAGCTGTCATTACTGCTTCCCAGAATTCTTGGGGCCGCACCACTTTTGTGGAGGGTTACTCTTTTCTCGCCATGGTCCTGCCCCAATAAATCTGTCACTCTCCCTAGAAATTGTTAAAAGAGAACTTAGGTTTATTCACTTTTTTGTTTTGTTTTGTTTTGTTTTGTTTTCATTGATGTGTCCCTTTTTCTGAATAAAGAATCCTTTCCAATTCTTACTGGGTTCACTTTGCTCCAGGTAGTCAACTTTCTCAACTAAATGTCCTTGGCTGGTCTCACTTCTGTTGTAGAGGGACCTCTCTTCCTTAAATTCTCCCCGTTGCTCCATGCTCTCCACCCTCACCCCTGCACCTGATCATGAAAGGAGGAATCCATGAGACCATGTCTCTGCTTCCCTTGCCAAATGCCAAACTTTGCAGATTACGAAGAACTACTTGTTGGAAGCTTTCTCCCACTAAACTCCTCCTGTCTACCACAACCAGATTGAGTGACCCTTTTCTTCATTCACGTTGTGAATAGTTTGTTGGGTCAGCGCCTATCAGGGAGTATGGTTCATAATAGTTACTCAATAAAATCAGCAAGGTCACTTGCCAGAATCAAGTTCAAATTCCAACCATACCCATAGTTAGTGTCTGACTTTGGGCCGAGGTAACACACCGCTCTGTGATTCACTGCTCATCTTTAAAATGGGGATAATAAAACTAAAGGTAAAAAGACAGTACCTGCATCCCCAGTAGGGGGTGTGCAAGAGGCAGCTGATCGATGATTCTCTCTCATCGATGTTTCTAACTCTCTATCCCTCTCTCTTCCTCTCTGTGAAAAATCAATAAAATATGTTTTTAAAAAAATAAAAATAAAAAAAGACAGTGCCTGGCATATAATAGGCACTAGAAAATAATGGTTCCCATTCCTTCTCGTTGGAAAAATGAACGAGTAAATAAAAGAAAGAAATGCTAGCTGAACTTTTGTTGTCTGACAGGCTCCCATGAAGCTCCTCAGCTTCTGCATAAAGGGATCAGTTTGCTAACCCAGTAGCTTGACTTTTCCAAGTCATCCTCCCCACCTGCTTCTTCCTATCTGCCCAAATCTCCCTCATATGTCTAGTCTGCATCTAGAACTTTGGGTCTTCCACCCCAAGGTGCTATTCAACTACAGAGAGCCTGAATCAAATAATTCTTAGTCTTATTCTGAACTATTACTGTGCATGGGATTGCCCTGGCTCCTGTAATCCTATAGAATTCCTGAATTTATGTCCAGAGACAGATTCCTCTCATCCAATGCTCTCCTATTCAGAACCTCTGGAGACATTGGAAATTGATTAACTAGGGTGAAAGGGCAAAGACAGAGTCAAATATAAATCCAGCAGTTCCAACTTGAGTGGATTGAGGAAGGTTCATATCAGTGGGGGAAATAAAGAGAAAACAAACTATGAATAGCACTAACAAAAACTCAAAATGGAGTTATTACAAGGAGTGGCATAATAATGTATAGCAAATACTATCAAAGCATATAATCATGTAGGTATGTCAGGGATTTCAAGTAATTTAAATTATGTAAGGATGAAGTCAGAATGTATAGCAGTATCCATTTTTGAGTTCTGATTTATTTTATAATTTGATTAAATCATGATTCTCTTTTCCTTAGTTGAAAGGGGCTTATCCTGTCATTTAAAAATGGTATTGCTCTTTTTTGTACACTAAATAGTCTCACATAGTCAAAAGTAAAATTCTTCCATGAAATATTTTCTTGCATTTTTTTTCCCTTTCTTTCAATACTTGGTTTTCCCTAGACAAAATAAAGTGTTGTGCTACATTACAGCCTCACTGTTAGGAACGAAGAGAGAGCAGAAACTGCGGGAAGACCCACGCTCACCACCAAAATGGAGAGTATCCAGGTCCTAGAGGAAGGGTGAGTGACTCACATTATAATTTGTGTCTTGTATTCAGATACTGATTACCTCAACTCAGTGCTTAGGTATCAGTTCTCGCTTCCTGTTACTCCTCAAAATGGTTTGGTGAAATGAATCTACAAGCTGGGAGATCTTACTCTGTGATTGCAATTGCTTTTCATGTACTTTCTATTAGCTGTGTGAAGCTATCAGTTAAATATTGCCTGACTTTCTCTTTCAAAAATAATGATTGTTTCATGAATTAGCTCCCCAAGTTGCCCTATTTGCTGACTTTCCTTTTCTGAAAATCTTCCTTTAAGTTGTTCTCTTTATGTGGTAAGAATGTAAAACACACACACACACACACACACACACACACACACACACACACACACAATATGGAATTACCTAAGTCTGTCAGGAAGGGCACCCAGCTGGCATCTGGTCCCATGTCCTTCAGAATAGTCTTTATCCAAGTATTTTATCCAAAATGAGAAGTTGAATGCAGAACTGAATCTATAGAATTAAATCAAAACACACAAATAAAATATTCATAAAACTATAGTGCTTTCTTTTTCTACTTATGAGAAGGTTTTAATGTTGCTGCTGCATAGGGATTTTTTCTTCTTTTAAATTTGTTTTAATGATTGAAGAAGTTCAGACCGGTTTGAATAGCAAAAATCTTTAAAATACTTGCTCAAAATGTATGTATACCTTCTTTGGAAACTTATTAAATAGATCAATGAATGAGAAAGCAAGACCAATCCTATATACTAAAAGGCTAATATTTAAATTGACTGAACAGAATGACCAGTCACTATGACGTGCCCTGACCACAAGGGGAATATGTTCAACACAGGAGCTGTCTCCTGGTGATCAATGCACTCCCACAGGGGGAGTGCTGCTGGCGAGTGTATTGGAGGTGGCAGGGGCCTCTCCCACCTCCACAGCAGTGCTAAGGATGTCCAACTGCTGGCTTAGGCCCCCTCCCCATGGGCTCCCAGACATCCCCTGAGGGCTCAGGCTGTGATGAGGGACCCCCAAGTGTATGAATTCGGTGCACCTGGCCTCTAGTTTAACCTCTAGAATCTCCAGTTCATTTCTTTCACTTCTTAGATGTATAAGCAAAGGGAGTAATAACTGGTGGTTTCTGCAGGGAAGTAGTCACTGAAAACCTGAATGTAGATCTCTAAAAAGTTCTCACTGTCATTGTAAGGGCCCTGTGCTCTGTCGCTGTGATATCTCCATTCATGGGTAACAATGCATTTATAATACAAGGTAAGCAAAAGTAGGTTTACAGTTGTGAGTATGAAAAACATGGAGTTTATTCTTGTATTACTATTTATCAACTAGAGGCCCGATGCACAAATATTTGTGCCAGAATGGGCCTTCCTTCCCTGGCTGCCAGCAGCATCTCCGCTCTGGCCAGAGCTGCCTTTCCACCTTCCCACACTGCCCAGAGTCCCAGAGCAGCTGGCGTGGTGCATCTGCCCCGTCCCCAGCCGCGTGGCGCCAGTGTATGCAAATTAAAGCACCATCTTTGTTGGGTTAATTTGCATACTTGCTCCTGATTGGCTGTTGAGAGTCCAATTATGGTCAATTAGCATGTTACTCTTTTATTAGGTAGAATCCTAGAGGCCTGGTGCATGAAATTCATGCACTGGGGAGTGGAGAGGGTCCTTTAGCCCAACCTGCACCTTCTTGCAATCTGGGACCTCTGGCTCCTAACCGCTCACCTGCCTGACTGCCTGATCATCCCTAACCACTCTGCCTGTCTACCTGATCTCCCCTAACCACTCACCTGCCTGCCTGATCACCCCTAACTGCCTCTGCTTGCTTGCCTGATTGTCCCAACTACTCTGCCTGCCTGCCAGATGCCCCTAACTGCTTACCTGCCTGCATGATTGTCCCTAACCACTCGCCTGTCTACCTCACCACCCCTAACCATTCTGCCTGTCTACCTGATTGTCCCTAACCACTAACCTGCCTCTCTGATCATCTCTAATGACTCAGCTGCCTGCCCCTAACTGCTTCTGCCTCAGCCCCTGCCACCAGAGCTTCGTCCTGAAGGATGTCCAGAATGACATCCAGAAAGTTGTTTGGTTGTTTGGTCTAATTAGCATATTATGCTTTTATTATCATAGATTGTATTGTTTTCCATAGGAACAACTGTAAACCTACTTTTGACCCACCCTGTACTTAATAGTATAATTATTTAAGTTTAGGAAAATATGTGACAAGAGCACACAATATATTTTAGATCCAGTGATAAATGGAAAGAAAAAAAAAAACCTACTAGAAATGAAAAGAGAAACTGTGTCTTGTGGCTTCAAAATGAAAATCTACATCAGATGCAAGTGGAAAATTCAGTTTGCTCTTCAAACAATGAATGTATAGACTTTCTACCAACTTGCAATATACAGGGAGTCCCCAAAAATGTGTCTGCACACCTTAACAGCTGACAGCTCAATTGGTACTTCTTTCTTTTCAGCCAGACTAAGCTTGAAACAAAATAAATGTATCCTAAAATGCTACTGGAAGTTCACAAAAGCAGTTGAAGTACAGACACTAACTTTATAATTATTCAAAGTGTGTTTACATGTTAATAGCTGATAGCGCTCCTAATTTTCATTCCTTCTCAGGTTTAACTGATTTGAAATAATGCACTAAGCCAGATTAAGCTTTCAACAAAGAAAATGTATCCACTAGACTTTTTATGGGGATGCATAAATGATAGTTTACTGTACAAAACCGGCAACCGTTGACAAATACTGAATGAAATGATGCTTGATATTTGCAATTCCATTGCTTCAAGTTATCAGCAGTGCCTGGACCAACCAGAGCGGTCATCAGTGTGAAAACAGGCGTTGACACACACACACACAAAAAAGCATTCATTTCTGTTGATTCTTTTAAGTATTGAAAATAAACAAATAAACTGCATGTTCATAAATACTGGCTTTATAATCATTGAAAGTGTGTATACATTTTGGGGGGGCATCCTATAATAAGGTTAAACATTTCCAATCTCTATGAGGAATCCGCTATGACCACGTGCACAGTCTGTAGAGCCACTGGCTGTTGGAACACTAGGCTCCCTGACATGCAGCTGGTTGGTGCCTCACCCTCACCCAGAAATAACTCACCTGGTTCTGGTGGCTGATTTGCCTGGGAAGACGAAACTGAGTGGCGATGACCACTAGATGGCAGCAACTGGCTAGTTCTATTTGCTCCTCTACCCCTATCTGGGTGACAGTCACCTTTGATTGTGGGCCCATTCTTTCTCTGCAGCCAAAACCCCACGACGGATGAAGTCTTGTCCTGGTCTCAGAATTTTGACAAGATGATGAAGGCCCCGGCAGGGAGAAACCTTTTCCGAGAGTTCCTCCGAACAGAATACAGCGAAGAGAACCTGCTTTTCTGGCTTGCCTGTGAAGACTTAAAGAAAGAGCAGAACAAAAAAGTCATTGAAGAAAAGGCCAGAACGATATATGACGATTACATTTCAATACTATCACCAAAAGAGGTAAATAAAAAACCCCAAACTGGCAAATACTGGCCTGAGTTTCCTAACACCCAGGGTGAACCTAAAGGCCCTTCTGTCCAGGTCGGATAGTGCGTGGGCTGTGGGCAGGCGAGGAGGCTTCTCAGGGGAGAGAATGGGGAGTCCGTTGTGAGGATCTCCCTGTGTTTGTGTGTGAAGGCTAGACTTCCTCGCTATGCTTCGGTCATGTGTCTCTGGCTGACTCTGCGGTAGTCTCATTGCTCCTCAGAACTAACTCCAGGAAGCCCGTTGAAAAGACAACTTGCTGTGACTTGAGCTAAAGTGGAAAGGAGTTTGCTTAGGGGCAGTGTTTCTCAAAGTGCGGTCCCCACATCACCTGTCAATCACCGGGAGCATTTGTTTGAAAAGCAAATTCTGGAGGCCTGTCCAGGACTTCTGAATCCCACATGCTTGAAATAGCCAGGAATCTGCACTTTTAACAATCCGCACGTGGATTTTTATTCCCACATAACGATGAGTTTGGAAATCTCTGGTAGAGGGGCTCAACCACACACACAAACATACCACGTTCGATGATACTTAGGATACAATATCTACAGAACTGAAGAGTGATCCATTAATATTCCTGAGCAGAGATGGGGATGGTAATTGTACTTATCTAGTTTTATATATATATATATATATATATATATATATATATATATATATATATATAATTGATTTTTGTATAGAGAGGAAGGGAGAGAGATAGAGAGTTAGAAACATCGATGAGAGTCATCGATCAGCTGCCTCTTGCACACCCCCTACTGGGGACATGCCTGCAACCAAGGTACATGCCCTTGACCGGAATCGAACCCGGGAGTCTTCATTCCCCAAGCCGACGCTCTATCCATTGAGCCAAACCGGTCTCGGCTGTACTTATCTAGTTTTGCAGCCATTGAAAGCACAAGCTATTTTTCCCATTGCCACAGCATACCTAATATATTAGGAGCATTTCAAGCAAACAGATGAACACTTTTTCCATTACCTTTATAAAAATTAATTTGCCCCTGAGAAATGTTCCTGCTGTTAGAGGTCAAGGCTGTTGGGGAGGGAGGGGGGAATGGTCTAACTCCCACGCTGAGCTCCAGAGGGACTTTCCGGCATCTGAACTCAGAGGTCCCTAGAAGGCCTTGTGTTCTCCACTCCACCCTCTTAAGCCACTGGTTCTCACCTGAGCACTGAAATGTCCTGACCTCCTACTTTCCTGCTCCCAGAGTTTAGCCTTCAACACTTGATGGGGCCCCAGCTGCCTTACACCCTTACCTTGAAATCTATAGAATGGATTAGTGTCTACTCTAGCAATCTCTATGCTTGAAAGTCTGTATCAACTACTTCAAATCTAATGTATACCTAAAGAATTCACTTTTTTATTAGATTATAAGTGTCATTGATAGTCCAGAGTACTCCAATCATATTGTGTCTTAAAGATGAGAAACCTTTAATTATTTCCTGTATTAACATGAGAAAGGTATTCATAGCAACAAGGTGGGGAGAGTTATTTCTGTAGCCTCGATACATTTATTCCAGGTGCCTTTGTATTTCTAACAATATTATAATTCTGCATCCTAAAAATACATTCTTCAGGCTTCTGGTCTACCCAGAACTTTAGCATTTAACCAATACTGCTTGGATTTTATTAGCACATTAACTTTTTTTTCTCGTTTTTAATTTAATATTTCATTGCATGGCAAATATATCAAATAATTAAAATGAGCCCAGAGGCATGCTTCTCTTGCCCACAGTCCATATAGTAAAGCCTACCTACCTACCTACCGTTATGGTGGAATGACTGGTCGCTATGACATGCACTTACCACCAGGGGGCAGGCACTCAATGCAGGAGCTGTCCCCTGGAGCGCCACTTAGCCAGAAGCTGGGCTCACTGCTGGTGAGCACAGAGGCAATGATGGGAGTCTCTCCTGCCTCCTCTGCAGCTCTAAGGAGCAGGAGACAAGCGGTAAGGAGAGAACAAATGGGCAGTTAGGAGTGAGGGTTCCCGGATTGCAAGTGGGCACAGGCTGGGCTGAGGGCCTCCCCCCCAACACACACACACACACACACACACACACACACACACACACACACAAGAATTGTTGCTTCTAGTTATACATAATTACAGAGCCTTACCCAGTCCATTTCTCTTCCCAAAATATGTGTCATCTTAAAGTGATAATTGCCTAGACTATCAGTCCATTCCTTCGTCTTATCGAGATATCATCTTAAAATGATGACTATTCCATTTTAAAATAATGTTAGTAGGAAAAAAACACACACATAATTTCTGTATTAAGTATATATAGTTCTTCTACTCTAGTCAACATTTTCTAATTTTTAGTTTTTTATGGGAAATACTTTCCCATTGTCCTCACAGCTCCTGATTTCCATGTGTCACTGATGGAACTTCGCAAAATACTTAATTTTCACAAAATTACTTTTTCTTTGGGCCATAGTTTAGGGAAATCGTAGTTATTGATTATTGAAAGATAAACTATAGGATTTTCATTCGCTTTGTGAAAGAAATGGAGTTTTGTTCCAGCCCAATTTAGACTTGAATTTTAGTTTCCCATAGTGGTCATTAAAATAATATTTTCTGATCACAAACACAATCTTTGCTAAATTAAATAGACTAGTATTTAATATAATAGTCATATCTATGTTCTCCTTTATTTTTTTAACACCTGTAATTAGGCCATACTCACTCTCTAATATCCTGAAAATACTACAGAGAGAGAGGTAACATTCAAATTTTTATTACTGTTACTTGCAAATATGCTGGCTTATAAAGAATATAACATATAATCTAAGTTTGGGACTGTGTAAACAACCTTTGTTTAGCCAGTTGATTGCTTTCCTATCAACATACTAATCATACAGGGATAGTTCCAAGGAGGTTTACAGTTGTGAGTTCAGGAAACACAGGGTTTATTCTTATATTGATAATTTATTAATTATTGTAAACCAATTTTTGCCCACTCTTGTATTTGATTGCTGTTTTGCAGCAAAATCAAATAAACCAAAACCATTAGATATTTGCCATTATAAAAGACAATGGTTAACAAGTTATGTGTTGAGCCAAAGTGTAGACATAGTATAGTATATTTACACTTGAGTCATGTCCAATGGCTTAACTCACTGATACACTTTCAGTAGAGCATGCCCTTTGTGGCTATCCTGGAGCCCTTTCCAAACTCCTACATCTCTCTGACCTTTCTGCAAAAACGCATCAACTTCTTGTCAGCCTCAACACATTCTCCATTGTCTACATTCTTAAAACTATTTATATGTATATTACTTATTTATTACATGAGCCAATATGCTGAGAATTGCATCGCATTGTTTGTTTTAAGAGCAAGTGTTTATGGATTTTTAATAACTCAGACATTATGTTATAAAGTAGATGTTTCCAATCAGGGGGCAATGTAACTACTGTTTCTTGCAATAGTATACATTTTAAGAGGAGAAGGGCCAAATTTTAAATTAAAAAAATATATATTTTAAAAAAACAAATTAAAAATAGCATTTTTTTTTCAAAATTCAGTTTTCCTTTTTATGCAATGTCCTCAAAGGAAAAAAAAACACACAAACATATGGGGGCAGCAAAGAGGAATTTTGTGCTAATAACAGCTGGGCTGCTCAGAGTAGAGGCTACTGGTAGCTTACATCTATTAATACTGAAAAGACAAACCCAACCAAGAACAGAACTTTAAGAAAAAGTCTGTTTACCAGTAAGGCTATTACCACCCATAAACACATGAGTTATAGAACAGAGAAATGCTTATAAATCCTTGCAACAAATGTAAGACTTTTACCTGAATTGATAAAAACTATATGTGTGCCGATATCTACAAATTCCCTTAGTGATGGCATTGTCTTCAAGCAGAGCTGTCATCTGCCACTTACCTTCTAATGACACTAAACACCTCATTTTAGTGCTCTGCAGCCTCAGCTTACTTGTTTCATAAAGTGATGGTATGGGAAAAACTCTAAAATCTACGGAGTCTAAGTGCAAGACAATTTTAATAGCAATGAGAATTGTTTGCTTTTTTCTGATTTTATCCTATATTTCCTAACTGGGAGGGGGAAAAGCAATAAACCTACACACTAGAATTATCTAAAAATAATTTAGAATTATCTAAAAATAATGTGTGATAAGCATGTGGATTCAGTGTGTACATGTATATTCCTTTTCAAAAAAAACTATGTGAACTTAGCACTTTAATAATTTGCATCAGTTTTTATAAACAGGATTCATTTGACTATACTTTCTTAAATTCATGTTTTTGTGCATGCATATTATCATGCAAAAATACTTATCAAGTGCATGCATATTACCAAGTGTTTCTTATGAGCTAGTTGTTTGGGATATGATAGCAAACAACAACACAAAAACCACTGGTCTAGCCTTTATGAAGACAGACAAATCGTGTCCAAAACAAGTGACTAAAGTTGTGATAAACATTACGGTGGAGGTAAAGGTCGAATGATATAATTTAGAATAGGAGTAATAAGGTAAGATCATTCTGATTAGATAAAATTCAACTTGTTATAAAGTCTAAATGCATTGGGTTTGATAAAAAAAAAAAAAAGTGTCATCATACTTATGACCAATTATTGTTGTTACCTTACATTGGGCCTAAACTTTATAGTTGATGAAATGGTCAATGGTCTTACTATTTTATTACAATATGAGTCTCAAAGTAATAGGTCAAATGGCATCACTTTACAGCAGAGAAAATTTATTCCCAAGAAAGTAAAACAGACACTTCAAGAAGGACATTAGGATTGTATTCTGTGGAGAGAGAACATAAGCCCAAAGTCTTCTGACTCCAAATGCGATGTTCTTCTGATTACTACATGCTGGTTAGTCATTCCATTGTCTAGTACTTTCTTCATGACTATAGATTTCCATGAACCCCACCTTACAACTTGAGGCAAAATGGGAAATAGCAACCTTCACTGCATGCCTGAGCTTGGACAAGCAAGATGTACTGTCCTGTCATTTAAACCCTAGCTAGAATATGACTACTGCCCTTTATCCTACAAGGGTCCGTGCTCCAAGAACTAAGTACCGACAAGTATTTGCAATCTGTGATTGTAGAAATAATTGACACAAAGTATGGCTAAAAGGGCTCAGGTAAAAATGTCTTAAAACAGATGGGATAACCAGCTATTCTTTAGATGTATAAAATTTATAAACAAATATATCCAGGGACAGAAGCTATAATCAGTAAAATTTAATATGGACATATAACCAAAAAAGAAAAAAAAATCTCTCAGTATTTTACTTAGAAAATAATTCTAAATTAAACAACTTCAGTATAATTAAATGCAAAAAAAGGGAGGGTCTAAATTATGATATGCAAAACAATTGTCTAAGGGTTAACATAATTTGCTTAATGAGGGGTGTCTATGAGGAAAAAGTACCTACAAGTGAAAATTTATCATTTTACTGTAATTCCGCCAAAAATTAGTCAAAATGTCTATTGCATCTTAATGGCTAGAACAGAAAGGCAGCATCAAAACGTGGTGTGCTCCCTTTTGGCAGCAATCATTTATCATTTAAAAAAAGATTCCACTTTAAGCAATTATCCTGCTTATATAATCTTTTTGTTTTTAACATTTAACTATTACTTTACTCATATTACTACGTTTAAGTTACATGAAAGGACAACCAAGCAGTTCTGCCCGATTTCAGGAAAAGTTATCCATCAACACCAAGTACATGGTGGCGGATATCATGGAATGGTGACAGCTTTGAGTCCAGGACAGGGGAGAATGGGCTGTGGTGCTCTGGTTCATCTCCAAGAAGAATATAGCACAATGGCCAGCACAAGCCATCCTGACACTCAACCTTTCACCCTGATCACAAATTCAGATTGCTTCTCAGAAGCTAGTAAATCAAGTGAAATAGTGGGGTTTAAAACACATTTTAAGATGAAGTCCAGATAAGTTTTAAAACCATGCTCTTGACACATTTTCCTTTCAAAATTTACATAAGACATACTTTCCCACTCTAATAGACTTTTTTCCCCCCTCATGTAGTCCACCAGGTAGGTGCAGATAGACTATTCTGCCTCAAGATGGAAAAGTAGGGGGAAAAACTAATAGCATCTGCATAATATTCTCTCTACACACTGTTGTTGGGTGGAAAATAGGAAATTTTAAAAAGAAAGGAAGAAATGTTCCTTCTTAGATTCTCATAACCTCTTGTTTCGTAGTTCACATATCCAACTCTGATACTAAGGTGACAGTGTATAGATGAAATTTTTGTTTTCAGGGAAGGAGACCAGGGCAGAGAGGACGTCATCTCTTTTTCTTCAAGAGTTATCAGATGGCACCTGCTCCCGAAGACCCTCACTCTCTCAAACTAGAGCACGCTGTAGGACCACAGGGCCTTCCTTATAAGCTGGTTGAACTTCAGTGGCAAACTCACAGATCCAGCCCGGTCTGCTATTGCAGTTTTTACAGCTCATATCTGGAACTATATGATAGCCAGTGAGCATTACCTAGTCTTGAACTTTCCTGTCCTGAAGGCTAATTCCCTAACGAACTTGTTAAAAAGAAATGCTCTGCCCACTGACCCCTGGGAACTGAGTGGAAATGAGTTCTGAGTGTCAGTTTGAACAACAACAAAAAAACCCAGATGGGTATCACCAATCTGACCAAGGAAAATTCTGCCCATTTTTATAGTTGACATTTTAAAGACCCCCGAGGTCACTTCAGGATTTTGATTTGTCAAGGAGACTGTGAGTGGATGTGCAATCGGCAGCTGCCTCTGCTTAATGTTTAGTACAGAGATCTTTGCTTGTATTCTGTTGGGAGGACTGTATGATAGTTTCCTAGGCCTTGCCAAGAAGACCTAAGGCATAAAGAATCTCTGTTGTGCTTCTGCTATATTAGGAACTTCCACATTCCTGGTTTTCTACTCTTGACAAAGTATGACTTGGAATATGAAACTATAAGCATTGGGTATAGATGTCAATGTTTTCCAGAGAACTATGCTTTCCATATAGAGGGTCTCCCCCAATGTCACATACTAGTAGAAGGGAATTCTCTGCTACCCCAACAATAAATATAAATTGTCAAAAATGATGTTTTGTTTTGCTTTTGTTTGTTTGTTTGCTTTTTGTTTTTTAGTTTAATTTTTGAAGGAGAATAGTATGCAAGGTTATATAGCCTTGAAAAAGATAACCTTAAGATTTAGGTAGCTGGGTTTACTCTTTGGAATTTCTCTAATGTATCATGAACCTCTAGCTATTTAATTGAGAAAATTTGAAAAAAAATATGATTTAATGTATTGCTCTTATTTCTTTTTAGGTCAGTCTTGATTCTCGAGTTAGAGAGGTGATCAATAGAAATCTGTTGGATCCCAATCCTCACATGTATGAAGATGCCCAACTTCAGATTTATACCTTAATGCACAGAGATTCTTTTCCAAGGTTTTTGAACTCTCAAATATATAAGTCATTTGTTGAAAGTACTGCCAGTTCTACTTCTGAATCTTAATTTTCATTTAAAGAAACCATTTTGGAGGGCTGGGATAGGAAATAAAAGTTGTCATATAACACCAGACACGGAGTTCCTGGAGGACGACAGTTTAGCATTCCTCAGGCTACTGTGAAAATAAAACCATATGGTCTTTGTCTCCATTTTTACCAAGGTTATCCATGGTTTAACTTTGGAGAAAATACCACATAAGACAACGAATTGCCAAATTAAGTTTGTTTTACTCAACACTCATTCTACTTGCAAGTAAACTGTATTTGTAGTCCTATGAACAGTCTCCTAGTGTATTTCCAGAGACTGCATGTGCAAAGTCAAACTGCTTCATTTGCCATGTAGTTGTTGTAATATTTAATCCAATGACATAACTTATATCTGTATTTAAGGACTTTTGTGCAATATGGTCTTACAGAAATAATTGCCAAAAAAGTTGGCTGTAGTTTGCGTTTTTAAATATAACCTAAGACAGACAAAGCCAATTTTTAAATTGTAAACAATAGTATTCAACATGCTATCTACTGTGTTCAGTACACTCATTTTGAAGCCAATATATCTGTACATGAAAAAAGAGCTATTTATCTCTGTTTGTTGGGAAATCCCAATGGGGCATTCCTCTGGTTGTTCACTGCCAAAACTGTGGCATTTTTATTACAGAAGCATTTGTTGTGTAAAAAAAAATAGTAAGATGAAAAGAGAAAAAAAGCACAAAATAATTTGAAAATCTTCTATCTCAATGACAAATCAAAGAGTGATATTGTTTTTAATTGTAACAGAAGAAAATGAATCTATGTATATATCACATGTCCAATACTGTAATTAATTTATTAAAGGCTGGCTCTCCAGTTCTAAAACAGTTGTGTAATGTATGTACTTTAGCAAGAAAAAAAGATAAGCTTGATAACTTAGTTTTGAAATATAAGGAAAGGAATGCCTACATGTAGCATCGCCAAAAATGTTGATGAAAAACATCTATCCCCGTGGCATAGTTTCCTTGAAAGTGAAAATCTAAGTTTTTAACCAACACAAGTTTTATAAGGGTTATAAAGAAGATACTAGTAATTCTCTATTTCAGACCTTAACTGTTTTCACATAGTCTCTTAAGAATTACTTAATTTAAAAATGTTGGAACCAAACTATTAATTCTCATCCATAATTGAAAGGCAGTACAGTGCTCAAATCTTCTAGCTGCCATATTATTTTTTAAAGTATCACTAAATCTTTAAGACAAAATACTTGCCTGACATTGACATGCACTTTTGACATTCAAGAAAACAGTATCCTATTGTGCACCAACACAAAAAAGTCAGAGTCATATTTATATCAAGACATTACATTTGAATATTAATATACCCTGGAGGCTATTTTTTTAATGTTACACTTATTAAATATAATATTGAGTAACCTAAAATGAAAGTTTTAAAAATATTTATATCCAATGATAATACTGGCCTTATATTAAGGATGATATTAAAATTGTAGGTTTTCATTGTCATTTTTAACTACCTCTCATTTTTTAATTTATTAAACATTAAAAAAACAACTTTGGGTTTTCTTTTTAAATTTTATTTTACTTGAAAGGTTGGCATTGTAAGTTTCTTTTTCCATAAACTTAACACATTTTAAGAATTGTTTTTTTAAGTGAATTTAATTTTCTAATTTATATAGGATTCAGGAGATAAGTTTAAAAGGGCTATTATCTATTCCCTATGCAAATATTTTAACTGTTGCAGTGTTTAACAAAATGGGATTTAAAAAAAATGTTTGAAGAGTAGAAAACAAAAATGTTCTGTTTACACTGGCGTTGCTGACTATCCTACCGTATTCAGCACTTTTAAACACATTATTTATGAAAATGTACTTAAAATACAAGATAGGAAATATTTATAATGATAATTTCTTTTAACAAATGCCTGTTTTTGTCTGAAAGTGTTAGTGTGTTTAGACATACTTTATCCATGTCAATTAGATATATGCTATTTGAATAATGGTTTTCAGTAATATGTTGAAAAATGATAAAGATGTTTACAAAAAGTCATATTTTTTCCTAAAGAGTGAAGAAAAACCTAAAAGAATCATCACTTCTATTGTGAAGTTCTATTGTTCCTGAATTATTTAATTTTTTTGTTAGAATTGAGTTTATTATGCTACTATGATGTATACACATATATGTTGTAATATCATACTTGTTGCTGTGTTTGAAGCACAATAAATTGGTGCACATGACTAGAAAATATGTACTATTGATATATTATGATATACTGCATGCATCAATCTTTTAAATGTACACTTTATATTCTTGTTGTTACTATATATGATGGTGACCTGCTAGTCGTAAGTTATCTTTATAAGATACTTTGGGTTCTTAGATGAATTGTCTGTTTGACAATACTTTTAATATTTTACCAAATGTAAAAGATAAGGGTCTTTATAAAGAGTCCTGATCTATAACCTGGGCATTTGTAGAATACAGATTTTGAAGTTAGTATATCCTTTTGAAACCTGATTAGGAAGTTGTTTTGCACATCAGATATTGCTAACCATGCTAAGTAGCATTTCTGTGCTAAATTTCTACTTTGGGGGGAGGGGAGGGTTTCTCATTTAATTTCAAAGGGTTTAAAGTTTCTATCTAAGAGTATGTATATTTGCAACTCTACAGATTTGCTTTAATTACAGAACTATAATAAGCAAATTAATAATAATAATAATAATAAAATAAAATAAAATAAATGCCCTCAAATGGTGTCTATGCTACCATTCCAAGAGCACAATATTTGTTTTGGTAGAATTGGACTTTCCTAGTGAGTGAATTCCTCCCGGAGGAAAAATGAGCACTTTAGAAGGTACACACGTGTTTCAGATTGCCAAGAGCTTTGTATACTGTTAGAATCTGCTAATGCACAGAGAGAGTAATGCTTTTTCTATAGTGCCTATAATGGAAAGAAAAGTAGAGGATCTAGATTATATATAAATATATAGAAATAAATCGGAGAGCCAGGCGTGGGTCTTGCACATAGATCACACTAATAATGGATGGATGACACTTCTTCCTTACTATAGAGAATTATTATGTTACCCAAAGGTAAGATCGATACCCCAACAGTGTTACAAGGCAGCTGTAAGCGCAGTAAGTGCACTGGCCTATGAACAACTATAGCAAAACACAATGTTAATGTCAATGTTATTCAGTGCAAAAATCAAGACCATAATGATTTTTTATTTTTTTTAATCTTAAGATCTGTACATAGGATGACCAGTTCTGATATTTAGTCATGATGCATGGGGTGTTTAATAGTAAGTATCCTTTAATGTTGCCTAGATTCTTACTAAAAGAATGAAATGTGTATCATATTTTTACCCAATAATTCAGTTTTGCAAAAGGACTATGGAAAAAGGTAGCTGATGTTTACTTATTAGGGGCAAAAATACATTTTCACCATATTAAGCTGATTTAAAATAGTATCTGATTCTTAGGTTTTAATTTTATCTATTTTCCTATGCATTTTTAACTTATACTGAAAAAATAAGTCATGATAATTGTGACAAATTACATTTTCAAAAAATACAATATATCAGATGCATTGAGGAAAAAAATGTACAATCAGAAAATAAAATAAGAACCTTTTGAGTGCCACCTCAATTTCCTAGGTCTAAAATGCCTTTAACTAGGACTCTATAAAACATGAATTTTGAAAATTTTGCACTGTGTACATTGGCAAATTATTGTGAAAGGTGGTCAAGCTATTTCCAGAAAATTTTCCGGCATGTGTTTTTCTATTGATAGTTATAAGGGTTAATTTTCAAAGTATACTTTTGCAAATGCTCCTATTTATGTCCTCTTTTTAGTTCTTTATAAATTTCGGACCAATATACAATGTTAGTTCTCCTGAGAAAATAACATTAAATCCGTAAAAATTTTAGTTGTTCCTCACTTGCCACAACTGAAAATATTTATCAATGAAACTGATACCAAAAACTTGTTTCAGATCTTCCCTGAAACATTCTTAATATTATCCTTGCAACACACGATTGGTTGTTGAGTTTTATTTACAAATGTGAAGCTTTAATTACAAAGTTGGTTTCTAACTACATTTCTGTCCTGTATGACCAGGCAAACCATGTATCCTGAGCATGTTTCCTCATTTTCAAAAGAGGAATGTTCTCTATCGGATGATCATAGAAAGAAATGAAATAAACATGGATAAAGTGTTATTTTAACAAATTCTCCAGCTCAATAGTAATTCCCATTTTTCAAGAATGTATATATTAAATGCCATTTTAATGCACTTCTTCTATATATTTTTTCAAATCATACTTTAAAAGTATTATTTAGTTATTCATCCAAAAAATACAACCAAGATTATTTTCAGATGGAAGAATGTATGAATGTCATGCTTTGTTCGATAATGTAATTCAAAATCACTGTTTTCAGTTCACTAACATCACTCTGAATCTACAATTAAGAAAAAAATCACACATATGGAACTATATATGGCTAGATGTGTGTGTGTGTGTGTAATGTTCTCCCCATTTATAAGAATGGGGTGAATATGAATATTAAATGATTTTCCAAATAAATATGGGGGTGTTGAACTAAAATTGTTATGAGATTGGCCATTAGCAAACATTGCTATCAACATGGACTAGAAAGCATTTTTAATATTAGAGTAGTATGATTTTAAAATTAATTTTACTATGAAAATAAAAGAATAAATATATTTGCTCATAAAATTTAGGATTAACATTTTATTTTTGAATAATTTCAAGTTTACAGAAAAACAGCAAAGATAGTACAGAAAAGTTCCATGTGCAGCACGCCCGTGAGATAGCTGTCACCTGACAAACCAGTATCAGTGCATTAAGTCTATGTTTCAGGTTCCCTTAGCTTTTATCTTTCTCTGTTCCAGGATTCTATTCAAGATACCATATTCCATTTAGTCATCTTGTGTCCTTCGGCCCCTCTAAGCTGTGACAGTTTCTCAAACTTTTGTTGCTTTTGATGACTTTGACAGACTTAAGGAGCATGATGGCTTAATGTTTTGCAAAATTTTCTTCAGTTGGAATTTGTCTGATGTTTTCCCCATGATTAGAGAGGTGTTACCATTCTGGGAAGAAAGACCCCAGAAGTAAAGTGGTATTTATATTACATGGCATAAGAGGTATACACCGACTTGATCATCAGGCTGAGGTAGTGTTTGTCAGGTTTCTCTACTGTAAAGTAATAGGTTTTTAAGAGGTATTATTGCATGTAAATTTACTGGACATTTATACTGGGCTAAAAAAAAAAAAATATGAGCAGATTCCTCAGCAGTGCTGTTAGTTTCCATTAAATGATTGCTAACAAGTACGATGAAAAAATGCAATGAACTGAAAAGTGAAATGGAAAAATTCCAAAACGGTGTTAGCTTGAATATTCATTTAATGGAGGGGAATTTTTTTCCTTTAAAATAGTATAATCCTCTACATCTCCCTGATAGTAAAGACTTTAGTCTAACTAATTGTCAGAGTAGCTAATTTAAACTGATAATTATTTTGCTGAGTTTTTTCTATACTGCCCTCCAATGAACAATAAACACTGAATATTGAAATAATGTAAAAGACTTGATCGTTTCCCTTGCTTTAACTTATTTGACATAAATACAGTTTCTTGTATATGACTTTAGTATATTTGCTGAATATAAAAATAATTTAAATGTGATTCGTTCTGTAAAATTTATCATATTGAACATATGTCATTTTTTACTACTATGTTCATTGTATTTAGTAATCTATACCCTTATTTTGGACCCCACCAATATTAGTTGGCCATAAAGAAATTGTGAATGCATGAATTCAATTTAAGAGATACCATGCTTGGCTATTTTGTAATGCCAGAATAACTGTAGGTACCTACAAACTGAATAGGTAATCCAAATTATTTTTCCTCCATTTTAACTTTTGGGTTTTGTTCCCTTTTTCTTGGGTCTATTTTATCATTTTATCTATGTACAATAGACACTGAAAATGCTAGCATTTTCAAATGTAATAGAATTTGAGCATGACAATAATGTAAGAAACTTATAAGTCTCAAACTATGTATATTTGAGTTTTCAAAGTAAATCAAATTACAGCTGTTTTCATTGGACCATATTGTGTGAACCTATGGATATTATTGTAAAATGCACATGCATTACACTGACTTTAAAATGTCTTGAATCAATAAAGAATCCACCAATATATCCTTAACAAATTACTGTTTCCTCATTGGTGTAACATTATAGGGTAAAAGGTACACTTATTTATATTACTTAAATTGCTTACACATCCTTGGGAAAATAATTTGACTAGATTCTTTACATTGTTCCTTAAGGTTTATTGAATTTTTGCACCTTTTATAAATACAAGTTTATTCTCAAAATGACTGAGAATTTAGCTGAGAGATTTATCATGTTGAGTTCAAATGACTCCCATTTGTATGGTTAAAAAAAAAAAAAAAGAACTCAAAGTTTTGACTTGGGAAAATAACTGTTGCTAATACAGATATGAGCAATTGTATCAGTCCTGCTGTACATCGGACCAGAATTAATATGGGCTTCAACCACTATCTTAAAGGAAAACAACTTTATCATGTGGCTTGAATACACATCCAAACTGAGACAAATAATTAAGGTGATTAGCTGGAGCTTTGAAGTGGCAACACCTATTTTTGCCTTGCACTTGAGATGCATCTACCTCTTCCATTCACTATGCATTTGTAGTAGAGCTAGAGAACGAATAGAGGCAACACAAGCCCGTTCTGTAAGAAAGAGAGTGGAGCTTCCCAGATTTAGTGTCAGTTAGGCCCTTGCAAGCCAGGTATTTCCCCCCTTGTATCCACTCCTCTGGTCGGTGAGAAGAGAACTTTTGAATGATGAAAAGCATGATGTCCATGAACAGTCAGCATTCCGGCCCCAATCCGCCTTGTAGAATTTTGGGGGGAGGTTTGGGGGAACCGGCCGCAGGGTCAGGGCTCTGAAGGCTCTGCTCCCTGTGGCTTATTGGAAGGAGGCACCGCAACCTCCTTACAAAGTCGCTGAGGAGTGAGTGTGCGGGGACCCGCAGGAGACCAGGTGAGGGAGGAAGGCCTGGGGGAGCAGGTTCCCTGGCAGATCGGGGACCGGAAGGAAGGTGTTGTGAAATCGCTCCCGGTGGCCTTCGAAGCACACCGGTCACGTCCTAATTAGCATGAGCCTCAGGCACCGACGGAAAAAGGAACGGTCCGCTTTCGCCCAGTTTCCAAACAATCCGATCAGTGGAACGCAAGGCCGGCCTGGCCCCGGCAGTTCCTTCGCGGGGACCTCGGCCCCGGTGCGGACGGTGGACTGCGCCCCACGCGGTGCCCGGAAGTCCTCGCGCGACGCCTGGGAAACAGCCCTCCGCGTCAGAAGCCCGAGCTGCGACCTCAGGCTCCGGTGAAGTTCAAGGAGGCGTTCACTACCCGGCGTTTCGAGGAGGGGCCCGAGGCCTCCCGGACCCGCCCCCACCAATTTCCGCTCCGCGCCCCCAACTTCCGGCCTCGGCGCCGGCGGCGGCGTTTAAAGACTTGGCCGGAAGTTCCGGGAGGCCCTTTAAACCCGGCGGCGCGTGTCCTGGGCCGGGCTCGGTCAGCTCTCGCCCCTAGTTCCAAATCCCGCGCGGTGTCGCGAGACTCGCTCTGGAGGGCGCTTCCGGCGTCGGTCCGCCGGGGCCGGGTGGGCTTTAGCGATGCGGCCCCGGCTTCTGTGGGGCGCCGTGCGGGGTCTCTGGGCGCGCCCGGCAGCGGCCCCGGGCCGCCGGCCCCGGAGCGGCGGGGGCCCGCCGGTGGAGGAGCTGTTCGCCCGCGGCGGGCCGCTGCGCACCTTCCTGGAGCGCCAGGCGGAGGCTCCGGCCCCGGCGCAGGCCCGGGGCCCCGAGCTGGCGGCCGCAGCCCGGCGGCTGAGCGAGAAGGAGCGGGAGCTGCGGGAGACCGAGCCCCTGCTGCACGGTAAGTCCGGCCCCGGGGGTCGGGGTGCAGACTGGCCCCTGACGCTGCGTGGGCATTTCCCGCTGAGCTCCGGTCCGGTGTCTGCGCGGCCCCGGGTTTGCAGGTCTTCGCTGGGTTGCAGCCCTTTTGGGTTTGGATCAGAGGCCTCGGCGCCGATAAGTGCCGCGGACACGGCCCCCCGCGGCGCTGCTCCCGGTGTGGTCCGTGGGTTCGGGACAGGTGCCTGGTACAACCAGACACGTGACCCGGAGCCTGAGAAATGTGTGTTTCTCACAAGTTTCTCAGGTGGTTAGCACGCACTCAGATCTGGATGGAGCTGGAGTTTCTGCCTTCCGATAGGCTCTCAGGGATGCCACACTGTTGTCTGGTTCATGGACAGTTCATGGGTAGCAGGGCTCTCGAGGGGGGTCTACGTGTTACTTGGGGAAAGAGAATTAAGTATAACACAACTAAACATGAGAACCGGCATCTGAATAGACCTAGAGCAAGGAGAACTTCCTGGGAAGGCCTGCATGCATAATCCATGGAGACAGGCTGTGCGCTAAAGGCCTGGGGGTGTGTGTGTGTGTGTGTGAGGTGGGAGGGCTTCCAGGGGTAACGGGGACGTCTGTGATACTTTCACAGTGAAAATCAATTTAAAAAGAATAAAGGCCCATCCTTAGAGGACATAATGTAGTTTAACCCTTATAGATCCTTTACCATCCATACTCCAGGCTTGGCTTAGCTTTCCTGAGCTATTAATTCATCCAGTTCATAGAACAAACCATAAGGTCGGTACTGTTGGCCTCTTTGAGGAGAGGAGCCTGCAGCATGGAGGGAAAGTAGCCACGGAGATGACACAGCTTTTTAAGGAGTAGAGTTTGGCTTGGAATGACTCCAGATCCCGTGCTTTTAATCACCGGACTCTTCCTTAAACCGAGGGAGAGGCGAGGCTGTGGGGGCTGGAGGATTGCAAGGGAGCATCAAACACTAACGCAAAAAGGTTGGTTTTGTCCTGTTGGCAGAAGGGAGCCAGCAGAAGCTTTTAGATTGGGGAGTGGATGTTCAGAATAAATCGGTGGCTCAGGAAGCTGGAAGTGTGGCGGTTTATAAGCCAGCCTGGAGAGGGCGAAGGTGACCTGACAGCAGCGTGGAGGCTAGTGCAACAGTCAAGGTCAGGGTTAAGCAGAGTCCAATTCAGCGATTTAGGAGAAACTCAAAGAATATTTGTTAATATGAATATTCCATGTAGGTAGAATTAAAGAGAGTTCAAAAGCTTCTTTATATTTGTATAGATTACCTTTTTAAAAAAATATATTTCATTGATTTTTTACAGAGAGGAAGGGAAAGGGAGAGAGAGTTAGAAACATCGATGAGAGAGAAACATCTACCAGCTGCCTCTTGCACACCCCCTACCGGGGATGTGCCCGCAACCAAGGTACATGCCCTTGACCAGGAATGGAACCTGGGACCTTTCAGTCCGCAGACCAACGCTCTACCACTGAGCCAAACCGGTTTCGGCTAGATTACCTTTTATTTTTTCATTTTATTTATGCTTTATCAGCAAAATATTTTTAAAGCTACAAGTTTATGAAAACTAACGTATAAAATGCTATTTCTCATTGCAGTTATTAAAAGGATAAGAAAGGTATTTTATTTTTTCCCTTCAGCTACAACAACAATAAAATTATTTCCTTAAATTCTGTTGGCAATTTAGCACTAAAGAAAACTTAACCTACTATTGCCTTTATCTCTTAGATGAAAATGAAGACCTAAGGAAACTTGCAGAGAATGAAATAGCTTCCTGTCAAAAAGAAATAGCTCAATTGAAGCATCAGGTATAGTATTTACACAAAGAATAAAGTAGCATTAGTACTGTTATTTCTAAAGACTTCTATTAGCTGTTAATAAAAACAACTTAGGACTTAATTAGTTTGTTGGTATTTAAAAATATAAGCTGTTTTTTAAAGTTGGAAAAATGTACTTTTATCATTCTAAAAGAATTATAAAACTCAGGCACAAGGATAAATGTTACATGAATAGAATTTGCCAGAAAGGCAAGGTAATATTGCTATTCTATATCCTCTCTCTTGTTTATATAAAATAGTTAGTATTCTATATCTTCTCTCTTGTTTATATAAAATAGACAATGAGTAGAATATTTAACAAATCATTTGACTTTTGTTAACCTCACTTTACTTTACCTGTAAAATGAGGGAATTGGACCAGGTTTTCCAAGGGCCTTTTCACTTCCAAAATTGCAAGTTTCTTTTTCACTTAAAGATTTTTTTAAAAATGCAGTTTTTTTCTATCATACTAGACTGGACATTTCAAAAGGATAGATTCTTTTGCTTTCTTCACACAATAGTGTTCTACTCACAGCAAGTACTTCATCATTCACTGAATAAAAAACTAATTGAAAGTATACGTGAACACCAAAAAACAAACAAACAAAAAAAAACCCTGTAAGTTTTAGCTGAACTTAAAACATTTGTAACATAGATGGCAATATTATTTTATGGTTCCAATTGGCAAAATAGTTGGAAATAATTAGCAGTATTAAATTTGCTTAGAAAAACTTTAAGTAAATTAAATATTGAAAATCCTGCATTTAACTATTTGCCTCCTTTTCAAAGTGTTAAGTAATGATTTATTACAGAAGGGGTGATTTTTTTAATTTTATTTACAGATTACCTTACTTTTGGTTCCCTCAGAAGAAACAGACGAAAATGATTTGATCCTGGAGGTAACTGCAGGCGTTGGGGGTCAGGAGGCTATGTTGTTTACTGCAGAGATGTTTGATATGTATCAGCAATATGCTGCTTTTAAAAGATGGCATTTTGAAACCCTGGAATATTTTCCAAGTGAAATAGGTCAGTGAACTGTTTAATCTGTTTTGGGGAAAGTGTAGCTTTATCTGCGTGTGGCCTAAGGAAAGAGTTGGAGAGTCTAGGCTTTCGAATGAATGTCGTTGTGAGGATGCTTAAGTAGTTTGATGCTCATCGTTTACTTAAATAAGTTTGAATGCAAATATGCCAAGAGCCTAAAAAATGTTAGTACTGTCTTTTAAAAGTGGTATTTTAGATGTGTTATTGAGCCAGTAAACACCATCAATGCTTTAGGGTAGCAATAAATATATTATGTATTAAAACTCCATCATAGACTTGTTCAAGTTTTTCAGCATATTTTTCCATCTATAGGTTGTTTTGTAGCTTTTTAAAATATGTCTCAAGATGGTAGAAGTGATGGTCAGATGTTAATAAATGGTAAGAATAAAGAAAGAATTCTGTTTTCCCCATGCTTTGAAGGTGGGCTTAGACACGCGTCTGCCAGCATTGGGGGTGCAGAGGCCTATCGGCACATGAAGTTTGAAGGAGGTGTGCACAGAGTGCAGCGAGTGCCCAAGACAGAGAAGCAGGGCCGCATTCACACCAGCACCATGACCGTGGCGATACTGCCCCTGCCCACCGAGGTGAGGATCACAGTCCCCTCTCCTGGGAATCGAGGGCCCAGCACAGCGCTTTGTCCCAGAGTGGCACTCACTTGACTGAATAGTGCGTCTCCTGGTCATATTTGGCCTTCATCACATACTTTGGGTTAGTTTTGGGCATGTGGTATATCAGCCCAGTAAGCATGGCTTTGTAACAGACCAGAGACCCAGTGCCCGGGGCGTGAGCCTGAGCCGTCAGTCAGAGGTCGTTAGCGCGCCTGCCCCCACGGCTGCACTCACCAGCCGTGAACTCAGCTCAGGGTTTCTGAGGGGTCCTCCCCCTGTGCGAGCTCACTGACCGCCAGGGGTCAGCTCCTGCATTGAGCATGTGCCTCCAGGTGGTCAGTGTGCATCATAGCAACCGGTCATTCTGCCTTTTGGTCGATTTGCATGTTAGCTTTCTATTATATAAGATAGGACTAGAGGCCTGATGCACAAAATTCACACAATAGGAGGCCTTCTTGCCCCTGGCTGCCAGCACTGGCTTCCCTCTGGCCACCAGCAGGCACCCGGGACCCAGGCTTCCCTGGCAGCCCTGGCTTTGTCTGGAAGATCATCTGTCTATTTAGAATATTACACTTTTATTTTTATAGATGGGAAGAATTGAGGATATGTAAATCATCAATTTGTGCACTGTCTATTAAGTTTTCTCTACTGTGAAGTTTAAAGCAGTTATATTGAGATCATGTCTTCAGGAGAAATAGTATTAACCTAATTTAATTAGGGATTACGACTGTATGACCTTTGCTTTGTGTTGATTGGTTCCCAAGAGTATCAATAGCAGGAATCCTGTTTTAACAAGGTGACAATTACTACTTCATAACCCAATCACATTAAAATGGAAACATATTCTTAGTGTTCACAATGAGTGTAGTTTCTTCTCACAAAGAAATTTCTCAGTTTATAATATTTATAAAATAACTTAGTGGGGATGTTCTGTATCATTTACATCTCTTCTGCTGAAAAGTGATAAGAATATTTGACTTGTCTTTCAAAATGATATGATTTGAGAAGGAAGTTTAATTAAGGGTTTCTCTTTATTAATTTGGGAGGAAAGTGCTAATCACTGGAAGAAGAGAGTTTTCCAGAAAAGGTGTAAACTGAGGTCCATGAATCATCTAATTATTCTAGCACCTTGTAGGGAGGAAGGGAGGGCTTGTGGATGGCAGGATTCTTACTGGTAGATTGTAGACATGGTACAGAGTGGTCCACGGTAATTCATGAAAGTTTTTTTAATCCAGTGCTTCTGATGGTGATTCCCAGGATAGAGCATTAGCCTGGCATTGGATCCCAGTGTCTTTATGAATTGAGTCTTGGTTTGGCAATTTTCCTTTGGCTCTGCCTCCAAAAATATTTAAGTCCTCCTTTAATTAAAATTAAACAAAATATGCCTTTCCCATAGTTCTTAAGCTAGCGTTGTTTTTCCCCTCTGCCAAAGTCTTCTTGAACTCAGAAATATTTGGCAAAATCTCATTTCAGCTCAAATGAGATTTCTAATTTACATTTCTAATAGTAACATAAGTTCTGCTGTTCATATGGTTAGAAAAGGATAATTTATAGAGAAGTCCAGTTTCTGAGTATTAGGTTTGTTTTATATCGTATATAGTATATTTTGATCTGCTACTCTTCCAAAATGAAAAGTTCTTCTAAATTTCATAAGTTCTATACATAACATATATTTCTAACTGGCTCTTTCATTCTTTTGAAGAGTTCATATATGTAATACTTTTAACACCAGATTTTCCTCTTATGTACAGATTAATCTAGTGATTAATCCTAAAGACTTGAGAATTGATACTAAGCGAGCCAGCGGAGCTGGGGGGCAGCATGTAAATACCACGGACAGTGCTGTCCGGATAGTTCATCTTCCAACAGGTATGTACTCACTTCTTCAATACACAATATTGGAGAAAGAAATCGGGGGATGTCAGACTGCCAGTTTAGGCCCGATCCCATATGGATCGGGCCTAAACTGGCAGTCATAGACATCCTTCTCGTAATTCAGGACTGCTAGCTCCTAACCATTCACCTGCCTGCCTGATCACCCCTAACCACTCTCCCCTGCCAGCCTGATTGCCCCTAACCGCCTCTGCCTCAGCCCCCACTACCGTGGCTTTGTCCAGAAGATGTCTGGCCTAATTCACATATTAACCTTTTATTAGTATAGATGTTCTAAATCACTAGTTTTTAGCTTTCTTTAGTTTTAGATTCTTTTGAGAAAATGAGAGCTTGGATCCCTTACCCAGAAACATGCATATATGCAAAGTTTTCCATATAATTTCAGGGTCTTCTTTCCATTAAGTCCATGAACAGACCGTCAGGGGTTCTAATAGTTTAGCATTGGAGCTATATAAATACTTCCTGGGCCTGCAGTATCCTGTTAGGTAGAACTGCAATGATTCACTTGTAATAAAAAGCAGATGGAGAGCAAACCTGAGTTATCTAGAAAGAGAATACAAGACTCTCTTACAGTGACCTTTCTCTAACAGGTATAAATCCCATTGACCAGTAGTGGTTATGGGAGGGATAGTCTGATGTACTTTTGTATTCTTAAATATGAGGAACTTCTCCTGTTAAACTTTAAGATGATGTCTTATTTATACATAGGACTAGAACAGAAAAAAATGGATGGAAATATTGAAAACCATTAAGAGTGATGATCTCTGGTAATAGGATTAACTTTTTAATATATTTGTTTATATGTTGAGATTTTTTAAATTATGATACCTCCTTGAGAGTTTAAAGAAGCAATTCATATTAAATTATTAGTTTTTTTTAAAATCATATTTGAGCATTTATTCCAATAATGCTGGCAGTATGGGGGAGCAGCAGGTCATCCACAAAAATCTGCTCTGCAACCCCTCCAAACCAGCTGCTTAGATAGGGTAGGGCCAGGATTACACAAGGAAGTAGGCTCTCCAGGCTGGTGTAGGACGCCACTGTTTTGGCAAGTAGGTTGTTAATCTATACTAATAAAAGGGTAATATGCTAATTAGACCTGATGTCTTCTGGACGACCATCTGGACATCCTTCCTGACAAAGCCAGGCCTGGGCAAAGCCACCTGCCTGCAGTCCCAGGTGCCTCCTGTGGCCCAGGAGAGAGAGAGAAGCTGCTCGCCCATGGTCCCAGGTGCCTGCAGTTGTGGCCCAGGCAAAGCCACCCACCCATGATCCCGAGGCTGTGGCTAGCCTGGGGAGAAGCCGGCCTGGGTCCAGGTGCCGATGGCTGACCAGAGGGAGGGAAGCCCAGGTCCCAGGTGCCTGTGGCCAGCTGGAGGAGGGAATCCTGGGTCCTGGGTGCAGGGCTGAGGCAGAGGCAGTTAAGAGCGATCAGGCCAATAGGGGAGCTGTTAGGGCCGATCAGGCAGGCAGGCAGGCTAGCAGTTAGGAGCCAGGGGTCCTGGATTGGAGAGGGTACATGCAGAACTGAGGGACACACACACACACTCCCCAATGCACAAATTTTATGCACTGCGCCTCCAGTCTTTCCATAATAGGCAGTTCTTTAATGAGAAGGGACCTCATCCCAAGGTTGACTCCCTGGGTTTCTAACTCCCAGCCAGGCTAGACTATCCTTCTTTCATCAGAACAAGGCAATCATACTTAACAGATCATGATTAATATTTCCTATAACCATGGCTAGTCCCCAATATTCTATGTTTGCCCCTAACATTTACGCCACAAGAGCAAATAATCTATTGCTGCCTGATTCTCTGGAACTGCCTCCCTGATCTGGCTCAGTTCTTGATTTATCCCATGTATAAGTCTAAAAGTGCCATTCAGAGCTTTTACCATGCTACAAGCCAGGAGATCTCTGTTGCAGTCTGGTGCCATGTCTGTGAGAAGGACACTTGATTTGGACCATGTGATGTTTCTTCATTCATAAAGATGGTCATTCATCCTAAGAAACAAGTCTCTCCCTCTCCCCTCTCCCCCACTCCTCCACGTCCTTTGCAGGACTAAATGAATAAACAGTTCTTCACGTATCAGAAACTAACTAGTTAGCAGCTGGTAGTATGTCCTTACTGTAAGGGAGGGCGAAATTCTCAGAACAATTCATACTGTAGTTATTAGATACTTAAAGACAATAACTATAACACCTGGTAAAAAATCATATTCACCACAGGAAGCTACTGCAGAACCTTTAGAAAAAACATCCTGGCATCCTTTTCCCAGACAATGGGTCCCCACGTATAAAGGTCCCATCTCTGACTTTCTTCCCAAAATGAATAGAATAATTCTGATGTTAGCAGTAGGTGGCCCAGCTCCTGACAGGCAAAATGTAAAGGTCCAATTCTTCATGGGTGCCTCCATTGCCAGCTTCAGAGCAGTTGGAGTGGAGAGACGCATGTCTCGGGGTCTTAATTTTTATTGTGTAGTATTTTTATTGTGTAGTATGTATGCCTTCGATATGGAAGTACTTTGTGCTATAGTTCACATTTAAATTTTGAGTTTTCTCATAACTAAAAATTAAGTCTTAGAATCCTGTTTGTCTCATAAAGGAAGACAAAAAAGGATGAGAAGGAAAAGGAGTATTCCTAGATAATTTTTTAAATTAAAACTCTTTCAATTCTCATAACACTATTCAGGTGTTGTTTCTGAATGCCAACAAGAGCGATCTCAACTGAAAAATAGAGAGATGGCTATGAAAAAGTTACGTGCAAAACTATACAGCATGCAGCTTGAAGAAGAAACAAGTAAAAGATACAATGCTAGAAAGATTCAGGTAAAACTGCAGTGAAAATTAAGGATAAACACTTAATTCTGTTTTTATAGTAATCTTATACCTATGCTCTGCTTTCTATATTCAAGGGCGTTTTTTTCAGACTTTTAATCAACTTACTAAAAAAAGATGCATGGCGTCTCCATTCTGAATATAATGAGATGGAAAGCCAACTGAACTTTCTTCCTATTATTTAATTTTAACTACAGAGACATTTTATTCATGCTATATTAATGGGAAATACATCACTTGGTCATCATGGAAGATTACTACGTAAATTAACTCACAGATTCTATATAGTTACTATGTGAATACTGTGCCACCCTTTATGTACACATCATCACTGTGTAGTAGGTATTATTTGTACTTTACACATAGGGAAACTAGAGTTGAAATAAATTGTCTGAAGTCCTGGCACACTGAAGTGGCAGAGAGGATTCAGAACTGATCTGTCAGCCTTGACAGCCCCTGCTCGTTTTTCTCTAACATGCTCCCTCCCACGTTACTGGAGGAATCATGTTAAAACTTGGTTCTTACTTTATGTTTCATATTATAAAGCAAGAGTTTAATCTCCAGTTATGTGAAATTTATAGGTTTGGTTGCCCTGAATTTAACTATCTCATCTTTTTTTTCTGTATATACAGATTGGAACTAAAGGAAGGTCAGAGAAAATAAGGACATATAATTTCCCACAGAATCGTGTCACAGATCACAGGATAAACATGTCACTTCATGATCTTGAAACGTTTATGCAAGGAGAGTACCTACTGGATGAACTTGTACAGTCATTGAAAGACTATGCGGATTATGAATCGTTAGTAGAAGTTATTTCCAAAAAAACTTTAAATTGATTTGTTATCAGAGACTTTTACAACTAATGAAAAATTCTACTACAGCAAATCAGGTTGTGTGTAATCACCAATACTGTCTTGAAAAACATGAGTTAACACAGTTAGAAGCAATATACATATTTTTAGGACGGTTTATATAAATAAATCTCTCAATGTATAAGTAAAAACGTACATATAATATAATCATGGCTCTGTTTATGCATTTTAGACATCTTAAAAAGCAATAGACAAAGGGAAGTCATTGTTTTATGTAAAATATTTAATTTAAACTGATTAAAAATTGGTTTATTATAAAACACTTCAAACATAGTAGAAATAAAACAGTAAATACTGTATTAGTAGTTAAGGTCTAGTCAGGAAACAGAAACCATACCATTAAAAATTTTTTGAGTGCTTTTACTGACTTTAGAGGGGAGAAGGGAAGGGAAGAGGAGAGAGAGAGAGACATCAATGAGATACAAATAAACCACTTGCTGCCTCCTGCACACCCCCTACTGGGAGCTGAGCAGACAACCAGTCTGTGAGCCCTGACCTGACTGGGAAACCTGTAACCTCTGGGGGTGTGGGATGATGCTCTCGCACTAAGCCACACTGGCCGGGCAGTCCCGTTACTTTTAATGGGGGTAACTTTGATAAAATGTTTTAACTGGTAGTGGGATTAGCTCTAATACACTAGGACTGTATTAGAGGTTATCCAAGGAAAGAACATCCTTGGGAGGGGCTTCCCTTCCCCCAAGGTCAAGGCAGGCCTAGGGGAAGAGGGTGTGGCTACAGCTCATGAGATGGCAGAAATTTTCCCTGGGTTAGAGCTGGTAGGTTCCAACTGCCTCCCAAATAAAACCGATTCTTAAGTGTGCAGAGGTCCACATCTGTATCTAGCATCATTTCAAATTAGCCCGTTTTACACACCACCCCCTTATGTCATATCAAATAGCTTATTTTTGTCTTACAAATAAATGAACCTGATTTATGCTTTCCCGGATTTTGTTTTTTATGCCATGGAAGGCTTCCTTTCCATTCTCACAAAACGCATCCCCTACACTTGTTCTTCTCAACAGGCAGTCTTCCCCCCATAAGGAACATGTGACAACAAAGGAGCATCTGGCCTAAAATGTCAAAGATACTGAGGCTGAGAAACCCTGTCAAATACAAGTAACTCCACCGTTCTATAACTACCAATGTTCCATTATAGCTATGTTTTATATATTGTTACCCCTTGTATCCCATGATGCTTTTACTTGAAAAATATCTACTGAGCATTTCATGTGTATGAGGTGACAGGCCCCGATAGCAAGCACGAGGACAGATACCATGTCCCAATTATTTTCATAGAACCCCTAAGGTCTCAGAAGTTGTAGAGGTTAATAATTTGCTGGAAGAGCAAAGGCAGTTCCCTCTTCACCTCATTTTGCACCTAAAACTACAGTCCTAACTGACACAGATTATGTAAACTCTCTAAGGCCAGAACTTCTTTTCAACCCAGGTTCTGTAAAGAAAGACCCATGATTAAAGGGGCAAAATTTAAGTGGCTAACTGCTCTGCCTTCACCTTGTCTCACTAATAAATGATTCACTAATATACCCTCACTTTAAATTAAAAGGCAAATTAAGGAGATGCCAAATTTTCAGTAACCAAATAAATAAATACCAACTTAACATTCTAAAAAAAAAAATGCATGCAAAGAACTAAAATGAACTCATCACAATTTTACATAAAAACGGCTCCACCCTGCAATGGCATGACTCATCCAGATCCCGCAGGCCTCACAGGACTGGCCAAGGCTTTAACGGGGCGCTAACCACAAGCCAACCGTTAACTCTCCCCGAGGCTGCAGAAAAGCAAAAAAACAAAAACCCACTGACACTGCCAAACACAAGGATTCGGACTTTGAATTTATATGATGTGGCTGCACTGCGCTGTAGCGGGAGCGCAGACCAGGGACTGCATTGTCCCTGCTCAAGTCCCCAATAAAAAGTGACAAAAGGTTCAGCACGATTAATAACAAAAGTGCAAAAAAATGATAACAGTGCAACTTGTCATCTAAGCCTTAACAATCAGCGTTTAGCAAACCACTCCTGGGCCGGGAGACCAGAACTCCAGGGAGTTACTATTTGGGAGCAGGGTTACTGTCGCGCGCTCGGCCCTAGAAGGAAACAAACAAACAAACTAGATACAAATTTAAAAAGCTGAAGGCCCGCACAAAATACCGTAGTGCCACGCTTACAAGAAAGAAGTCCCTTCCGGTCTCAACCCTACACTCGCCGGAAGGATGCAGGTGGTCGGGGCTCCCCGCCTTCCGCCCCCGCGCCGGCGGGAGCAGGTGCGCGCGCCAGGAGGATGCACCCAAGGCGCATGCTCCGCTCCTTCCCCGGGAGAAGCGCGAGGGACCCCAGCGCGCAGGCGTCGACCCGCCAACTCCGCCGCCACCTCCCGCCAAAAGCGCCTGCGCAGAAGCACTGGGCCAGGAGGAGGGGCGGAGGTCGGAGGGGAGAGGAGCGCGCCCAAATCCTAGAGAGGCGGGCCGAGGAGGGCTCGTCTTCCGGAAAGCCTGCGTTCCCAGACGACCGGAGGTGCCGCTCACCAACCTCCCGCCCAGGAGATGGCCGCAGGAAGCCGGCTGCCCCGTGTCCGCATCGGAGATCCTCAGAGAGGGGCCCGCGCCGCCTTGAGGATGAGAACCGGACTCGCCGGAGGCCGGTTCCCACCGCCGCCGAGGGAAGCTGGGCGCGTGGGCGCATGCGTGGTAGGCTCCCTCCACGTGTGTCTGGACCGCGGCCTCCCCGCGCTCCCAGGCCCCGCCCCGGCCCCGCCCCCAGCCTCAGCATCCTTCCGGGCGCCGAGAGCCGGCCTGGAGGAGGGCGGGGCGGCCGCGCGGCTGGCCCCGCCTCCGCAGCCTCCCATTGGACTCGGGCGAGAGCGTCCCCTCCCACCGCCTTCCCATTGGGACGCGCGTGCGAGCGGCGCGTCCCATTGGGCGGTGCGGATTTGGGCACCAAATTCAAAGATTTTAAAAGTACCAGCTGGCGCCTTTTAGGAGGCAGAGCTCGGTGCGGCCGCAGCCCGCTCCTCTCGTGCGCTGGCAGGTCGCTCACCTGAGGAGCATCCACCCGGCTCGCTCTGCCATGAGCCGGCGCGCCTGCAGCTGCTCCCCCTCCGGCTCCTGCTCCAGCTCCTGCAGCTGCAGCGCGGTGACAGCTCCCAGGCGCCCCGCTTCCTTGAATAGTGAGTGAGGGGAGAGGGCAAGAGGGGGGTGCGGGTCCCAGGAGGGGTGCGGGTCCCAGGAGGGGTGCATGCCAAGGAGTGAGGGCATGCGGAGGGGAGAGGGGATCGTACCCCGCCATCCGGACGTGCGGCCCCACGCTGGACCGTGGGGGCTGGGTGCGGGGGTCGCTGGAGGGGGTCCCGGGGACCAGGAGGCCAAGAGAAAGCGGCTTTCCGGGAAGGGGAGCCAGATGTGCTGACGCGGGATGGCGGGCCCGGGTCCCGCCTGCCACGCCGAACCTGCACCCTGGCCCCGAGGGAGGTGCGGGTGGAGGCCTCCCGGGGCGCCCTCCTGCCCTCGGATGACTTGCCTCCCCACCCGCTTGGAATGGGCGCCAAATGCCCCTCCCCTCCCCCACCGGATCAGGGCGCGGGCTCTGCGGGGCGGCCCCTGGGGCCTGGCCAGGTGCCTGACTCCCACTCCCTGAGCCCCCTCCCCCTGGGGGACCTGCACCCGCAGGCCCCAGGCCCACCTCCTCGGCCTGGGCCGCCCGGGCCCCGCGGGCGCGGGAGATCCCGCTGGCCTTATCTCCCGCCTCCTGCCCCCGCCCGCGCCCTCGGGGCCACCCCGCCGGCCCCTAAATCAGCATTCCCAGGGTCTCCCCCCTGCCACTCCCGCCAAATGCAGGGACCCCCCTCATGGAACCGAGCTTTCCAGGGTGACCAAACAAAAACGTCCAGTTTCTCTCCTTTTTTCCTTTACCCAGCAGCTCAGTCTCAAGGCCTGGAATCCAAGGGATCGATTTTTAAGGGACACTAGTTTTTAGGATAAAACCATGAATTTGGCCATTTTGAGCTGATTTTATGAGACATGAAGAATCGTGGTGTGTGTGTTTTTTTTTTTTTGTTTTGTTTTTTTTTAATCTGTACTCCTGAAACGGTGGGTTTTTATTCCAAACTTGGATAGGATGAAAGGCGCCCAGATAAACGCTTATTTTTATTCTCTTTGTTGCTGTCTCCAAAAGAGATGTAAACGCATTTATTTTAACTTAGAAATGATCCAGGTTTTTAAAGTAGCAATTTGGTAGTGTGATATTCAGTATTCCCTGGGAGATCCCCATTTCTCTAGAAAAGGAATATGAAATAGGAGAGAGGAAAAAAATACTTTTTAATGATTAGATGTCTCCATTGTGAAATTCTGAAGTTTGATGGCTTTAAGTTGTTTGGTTGTTTAATTCCCGTTGTCTCTTTACCATCTGACTCCTAACGAGGATATTTGCACTCCTCTTGAATTCTTTTCCTGTTTAAATATTTGGGGAAATGAAATTTTAAAATTTATTGAGTTCCAAGTTTTTTAAATTTTCTCTTAGGGACAATAGCTAATAGGCAGGTAAATGGCAGCAAGATTTGGGCCTCTTAAATTTTTGGAATAGCCCGGCCTAGTGTGGAGCACATGGTGGTGGTCTTATGGGTACTGGAGGTTGTAGAACTTAGTTATTTAACATTGGAATAGTTACTTAACATTGGAATAACAAAGGTTTTTAAGCACTGTAGTCTATTTACCTAATAAGGAGTGTCAGATCTATATTGAAAAGTTAAATAGGTTACTTTATGAATGTTAACTAAGAATGTCTTTTTCATGATTATACTCTAAAGGAAAGGTTTAAAAAATGCAATATATTGAATCTACCAACTCCATGAGGTAGATATTAATAGCTCTATTTAAGAGAAAATGAAAGATTAATTGAATGTTCTAGGTCACAAAAGCTAGTAAAAAGGCTGAGCAAGCATTTTCATTTAAAACTGGATCCCATTCCTTGAACAAATATATAATGTGGAATCCATACATCTCTCTGTCTGGGGAATAGTTTACTACTTATAAAATGTTCATGATATACAGCTAAAAGAGTATGAAGGGATTTGACTTAGAATAATATGATAATTAGACTTCTGTAGATTCTGTTGATTAGACTGCACGTGACAGGAACTGTCCTAAATTTAGTTCAGTTTTATTTTCTCACCCCTGTTTTATAGATCGGGAAAGAGTTAACCTTAGTTTTCTCCCAATTTGACAAATGACACTTTATAACTTAGATCTTAAAACTTTAAACCCTAGAGTATTTTTTACTCCAGTTTTCCTTCATGATCACATCTAACACATCAGCAAGCTCTGTTGACTTTTGACTTGACTTACCTCCTCAATAGATCTCTTATCTGTTCAGTTATCTTCATTTCCACAATGGCCATCCAGTCTGAAATTTTCTGATACACATTTCTAACTAGCTTTCACTTGTACCTTCCTACAATCCATTTTCCACGGCTGCCACGATTTTTTACATTTATTTATTTATTTATTTATACTCATCTGAGAATTTGATTTTGGAGAGAGAGAAACAATCATCGGTGCCTCCTGTTCCCACTCTGCTCAGGGACTGAACCCATAACCTAGGTATGTGCCCTGACTGGGAATCGAACCCAGTGTGTGGGGTGACACTCCAACCAACTAAGCCACCCAGCCAGGGCAGCTGCATGAACTTTAATAATGCAAACCAAAATGTTTCTACTTAGAACTCTTCAAAGGCTCTTTACTAACTACATAATGAATATAATCCATCCTACAAAGTCTTCTTTCAGGTTCCTTTCATATAAAAGTGATACTTACCCTTTATTTTGTAGTATTGTTAAAGTATATTACATAATTTCACATTTTAAAACTAAATCTACAACTAGCATCAAGATTCTGGAACCAATAAATGAACGAGCTTCTTAGAAAAATAACGGATTCTAGGGCTAGAAAGTAAGGAAAATTCCAAAAACAAAACAGTGGAAGTGTGTCAAATGGACATGAACTTGCAGTGGCAAAGCTGGAACAATCCCAGTTATTGGGTTCTAAAGACAAGCAGAGTAACAACAATGCCTTTGAAAAGAGGGAATTAAGAGTTTCTGAAGTACAATGTCAGGCCTCTTCACTTTAGGCAGCTAAGCAAAGTAAAAATTGTCTTTATGGGTGACTTCTATAGATTAAATATGGCCACGTGTAATTATATCTAATTTTTTACTTGAGACAAAAATACCATTCTTGGAATATTTTTCTTTTTCTGGGTGGGAGAGAAGCATTCAAGTTAGTGTTAATTTGGGTGGGTGGGTGTTGCTTTTGGATTGATTTAGTTATTGTTTTTTAAAAATATATTTTATTTATTTTTTTACAGAGAGGAAGAGGGATAGAGCTAGAAACATTGATGAGAGAGAAACATCGATCAGCTGTCTCCTGCGCACCCCCCACTGGGGATGTGCCTGCAACCAATGTACATGTCCTTGACCGGAATGGAACCTGGGATCTTTCAGTCCACAGACCGATGCTCTACCACTGAGCCAAACCGGTTTCGGCTAAATTTTAGGGTTTAGTACAAGTTTTATGGGGTCTTAGAGCACATACTATGTCTTCCAGTGTGTTAATCATTTGGAATTTAAAGAGTCCTTACCTACAATGTTACTCTCTATCAACATGTGCTTTGGTGCTTTGACTTAAAGGTTTTGCTCTAAATAAAGATGGTAAAATTGTTATGACAATCTTACCAATATTTAGTGTAGATTAGACATAGTGGTATATTCACTTACTATAGGATAAGTTGTTAGCTACTTACGATTGGCTTGCGTTGGGGAGAGTAGGTGGGAAGTAAACATGAAGCATCTACTCTTCATCTGCCCTCAATAATGCTAAGCAGTTTTTTCCGAACCCAGTACTACATTCCTTCCCACTATAGTGCCCTTGCTCACACTGTCTCTGAGTGCTGTTTCCAGCCTCTACTGCCCGAAAAAATCCTAATCTTTTCAAGCAGTGGTTCTCAACTGGCTGGTGGGGGAGACTTTGCTGCCACCACCTTCCCACCATTCCCAACATTTGGCAGTAACTGGTGAGGAGACATTTTTCATTATCCTACCTAAGGGGTAGGGCCTGCGAATGGCATAAAAGCTGAGTAAAAGCTACTAAGTATCTTGCAGTGCTTGGGACAGCCCTCACAATGATGAATTATCTTGTCCAACGGTCTTTGGTTTACACCTTTGAGAATACCTGTTTTAAAGATAATTTAACTGGTTTCTAAGGCTTTTGGCGGATGGTACAACCTTAAACAAGTGTTTGCTTTTTTGAGCTGTGCTTAAGTAAAGCTGACTAGTGTCATTTCAAGTCCATGGAATAAACACTGGTTCTAGAAGTGTTGGATTACTGTAAGGGTATCTGACCCGAGACCCCACTCTTGATGCCTCACATCTCCTTATTTTTTCCATAAGCTCAGATATTAGTTAAATAGTCCCCCTTTCACTGTTTTTTTACTCAGTCAATACGGATTCCAAAAGTCAAATGTTGTTAGATATACACATCTAAGAGCAATCTGTTTTGAAGTACCTTTTTAAGAATAAGATATATATATATATATATATATATATATATATATATATATATATATTTCCTCATATTGTCACATCTCCATATTATTAAACTTTGATAACTTCACAGCCACTTAGACAATATAAAGTGCTAAGAGATGCCAAGTAATTAAATCTTATATCCCAATTTAAGTAGTAAGGATGTGTTGAAATTTTGTTATTAAGAAGTAAATATGTTCTTTTTATAGGTTGCAGAGAAACTTCTCTTTCTATCAAAATGAAGTGTGATTTTAACCATAACCACGTTCATTCTGGAGTTAAGCTGGTAAAACCTGATGACAATGGAAGGCTAGGTTCCTACACTTCTCCATGTCTGAAAAGTTCTAATAAAGACTGCATTAAAGACTATGAAAAGCTATCAGATATCGGGTCACCGATTGTGAGCCCCAGGATTGTAGAACTTGAAACTGAGAACAAGCCCTTGCATAACAAGGAAAATCAACATGTGCAACAAACACTTACTAGTTCAAATGAAATAGAAGAACTAGAAACCAATGGACCTTTTGAAGACAGTGGCTATTTTTCATTTTCCCAAAAGAGTGTCCTAGGTGAACAGGAAGAAGCTAGCCTTTCCCTGGAAGAAAATTGCAATGACAGTCCACAGTTTTGCCTACCTCAGACTGAAAGCCCAGGCCAATATCCCAACAAAAACTTGATGCCAGCTCTTCATTTCGCAAAAGTGGTTTGTTCAACGTTAAAAAAGAGTGCCAGACGAAATCATAAAGTAGATTTGGAGAAGCTAAAGGAGTATTATGTAGATTTTAGGCTACAGACTATAATTGGCAGAAAAATGGGCCTAGAATATGTAGATATTCTTAGTGAACTCTTTCGAAGGGGACTCAGACATCTCTTAGCAAATATTTTAACACAGCTCAGCGATATGGACTTAATCAAGTAAGTGTTGTTGCTTTGAGTATATCTGTATAATACACTAATGCAAATTATTGTTCTTAGATTGATATCTTTGTTTCTCTGGGTTCTGAAATTTCTGTTGTGTAAGCTGCATCTTTTCTGGCTTATGTATAAAACAATGTCTAGTTCTAGTGTACAGGTCTAATAAGCATTGTTACTTTTGGTGCACTTGAAATAGGAAATGATTTCTGGTCTTTTAGGCCATTTTTAATGTAGGGCTCTTCTAGGTTTGACAATAATGGAAATATGACTACTCTCGAATGGATCTGATTGTGACTATTTCTTAGAAACCTTATGCCAACTAACTACCCTTTCTTTCCCATTCCACCAAATAAAATCAGGATGAGGTGAATGTGAGAATTAAGATGATTACACAGACTACTGGGTTAGGTTGAATTCAGCCCAACTGGGGTCTTTTTTAATTTTTTTTTATTTTTTTTAAGTTTTCAGAAGTACTCTTTGCAAGTGTTTTACACTGGTCTTTATGTAGCTAAAGCAAAACAAATAAACATATATTGATTTTTATTGTTGGCTATCTTCTTAAGGGTAACCAACATCACCAGTTGATTTCTCCTAATAACAGTGTGCCCTAAAGTACTTTGAAATCTGACTACAACTTTTAACAAATAGCTAACAAATAGTAAGCAGTGGCTACTTATTTGATGTTTGCAGATAATGTGAAAGAAAATCCTATATAATAAAAGCCTAATATGCTAAGTGTCTGGTCGACCAGTCAGCTGTTAAACCAATCAAAGTATAATATGCTAATGATATATAAGGCCGCTCAACCACTCACTATGACATATACTGACCACTAGGGGGCAGGAACTCGACCAATGGACCAGTTGCTATTATATGCACTGACCAACAGGGGGTTGGGGGGAGCGGGAAGACAGTCCATTGGTCAACCATTCACTATGGTGTGCATTAACCACCAGGGGAAGACACTCTGATAGGTTGATTAGCTTGCTGCTGGGGTCTGGCTGATTGGGACAGTGAGACAGGCTGGGGACACACCCTGGACCCCTCCCATGGTCCCTCCCTGGCTGGCCAACCTCCTGTACCCAAATTGTACATCGGTGAGGTCCCTCAGCTTGGCTTGTGCCATCTCGCAACCTGGGACCCCTCCAGGGGTGTTGCAGAGCCATTTCAGCCTGATTCCACAGGCCAGGCCGAGGGACCCACTGGTGCACAAATTGATGCACTTGCCCTCTATTGAAATATAAATCAGTAGTTCTCAAGCCTGAATGCACTTAGAATTACTTGAGAGGGAACTTTTAAAAAAATACAGAACTTTGTATCCCATTTTAAGTGTCCTGGACAATTCTAATATAAAGTTAAGTTTAAGAAACAATGCTGCTGAAACCGGTTTGGCTCAGTGGATAGAGCATTGGCCTGCGGACTGAAAGGTCCCAGGTTCGATTCCAGTCAAGGGCATGTACCTTGGTTGCGGGCACATCCCCAGTAGGGGATGTGCAAGAGGCAGCTGATCCATGATTCTCATCAATGCTTCTAACTCTCTATCCCTCTCTGTAAAAAATCAATAAAATATATTTAAAAAAAAAAAAAAGGTACGGTGCTAATAAAAATTTCTTTTTTGCACTATTAATGTTTCTGTAGTATATTCATCTGAGCTCTTTGTGATGCTTTAATTGTGCATTTCATAATCATTTATTTTTCCAGTGTGTCTAAAGTGAGCATAACTTGGAAGAAGATTCTAGAAGATGATAAGTGGGCATTGCAGCTGTACAATAAAGCAATACAAAGAATTACTGTAAGTCTTTGCAGTTGATGTTTTCAGCTTAATAAACGGTAGCTAGTGATCTTTACCTTTAGAATTAGAAGGGGGAAATAGAGAAGATAACAGGTAATCTGGAAATCTGTTACATTCAAAAAGCATTTCAAACTTGACTAGAACTCATTATAAAATTTACAGGGAAAGGGAAAGGAATCCCACTTCAATTGTTTAGTTCTATAAATGGAATGTCCAAAGGGAAAATTACTCAGTTCTCAGTGTATGTTTGTGATACAGCTAATATAGGTTGCCATTTTGTGTGTATTTTTTCAGTTACCAGATATATAGTAGAATATTTATTTATTGAAGATTTTTAACATAGAAAAGAATTTATTTTCAGAAATACTTCAAGATCAATGTATATTTAAAATTTCGTTGGCAGAGTTAAGTCCAAATTTTGGTGCTGCTACTTACTAGCTGTGTTGCTCTAGATTAGTATTGCTTTCATTCTTCAAGTTTAATTTCTTTATCAATAAGCTGGTGTTAATGGAAAATTTTCTAATGTAAAAGGTGATATTGAATCTTTTCATGACACTGGAGTAACACCTAAACATGATTATTGCCCTCTGCTGTTGGTAGAAAGAATTATTCATCTGGCAGAACTTGATAAATCATGTATTCAATGCTATATAGACTAAGCATGTCAAGTACTCACAATTTGGTTTATCATTTCTGTCAATAACTTAGTTAGCCTTGAAATGTTTGTGTGAATACTTTTGTGTAGCTTTTTTTTAAACATGTAGATAAATTGAAATCCTATTAAAACTTTTTTTTTTTTTAAATTAGGAAAAGAACATTAAGTTTTCATCACATGCTTCAACCAGAGAACATGTTATGTGTAGAACTGCATTGGCCTCTGTTCAGAAATCAGCAACCCAAACTCCTCTCCAAAATGATCCTCGAGACAAGTTATCTGATCCAGTTGATCAGAAAGGTTCTACTTATAGTCGGCACAAAGAATTCTCTGAGGTAATTTTTTTATCGGTTAATTAGTCATAACGGATATTTATTGTTAAGAGGACTTATAGTGAGAAAGGGAGAACTTTAAATTTAATCATAGCGTAATTAGAACTATTAGTAGAGACCTAATCTTCTGTACCTTTCATTCTATTCCCAAAAGTGTTAGAAATAATTTCATAACTAATATTTTGGGAAAGTACAGAGTTATTTTCTATGATTAAAAATAATATATACTTGGCATTATTAAACAGTTTAGTGATGTAGAAATTTAAGAAGTGCTAAGAAAATAATAGAGACTCTTAATTTTAAAACACTGCTATCTAAGAAAAACAGGACCAACTTTCAGAAATTCCTGGCCTCCTATTAAAACTTCACTTCATAATTATCCATGTGAGAACTTTTATAATACACATTACAAACGTTCTCACATGGATAATTATGCAAACTTAATTTAAAAATCATATATTGACTTCATTTGTTGGTCAATAAATATAAATTTTATGTAATGAAATTTAGTATTCTCTCTTTATTACTCTGATGCCTGGTATAATGTTAGTTTATTTCAAAGCATTTTTTGAATATCTGCTATCTTACTGGGTACTGCATAGAGAAGAAAACATGGTAGTAACCTCCATAGCCTTATAATCTAGAATGAAAGATAAGGCATTAAAGAAAAATTATGTAATATGATAGGCACTTTAAGAAAACATAAAACTAGAGGTAAAAGTGCAGCCAACTCCTGAGTGATACTAGGAAAACTTCACAGAAAAGGTGCCTATTTAATTTAGGCATTGATATTTGAGTGGCATTCATGAAAGAAAAGAGTATATTTAGAAATAGCATTAGGAAATTGCTACTGAACCAGCTGATATTATCTCTCGCTCATTGATAACATCAGGGCGAGGGTCCTTTGGGGAAAGGAGTTCTCTTTATGTGTGACATTGATTTTTTTATACCTGTATTGTGGAGAGTCCAGGTGTGCCATTCTTGTTTTTCCAAAGTTAAATTCAATTCAGTCTTCACTAAAATTTTTTTATGGATTTTCTTACCAGGTTGCCAAGACTTTGAAAAAGAATGAAAGCCTCAAAGCCTGTATTCGCTGTAACTCACCTGCAAAATATGATTGCTATTTGCAAAGGGCAGTCTGCAAACGAGAAGGCTGTGGGTTTGATTACTGTACAAGATGTCTGTGTAATTATCATACCACCGAAGACTGTTTGAATGGCAAGCCTCTAAAAGCCAATTATAAAATGTGTCCTCTGCCTGGTACTGTGAAAAGCAAGAAGAACTTACGGCGATTGTGATATCTTATTAATATCTGTTATAGCCGATCATGAAGGTTAGTCAGAAAAGTTAGGTTTTAATCTTAAAAATTAAGAATATATATTGTGATTTTTCAATCTAATGTTGAAATGAGTATCCTGCAAGGGATTTCTGCCCCCCTTCTAAGTAGGGGATGCAAACCTCTTAAAATATTTTAAAATTTAATGTGAAAAAGTTCAAAGTTCTCAGTATAAATCAGGAAATTTAAATATTTTTTTAAAAATTAGTCATCCGATTTTTGTTTTAGAGGTAAAATAAAATTGAATTTTTTAGTAAAGAAGCTCATGTAATTTTACCTATACAATCTTACCTAAATTTTGTTTACCATCTATTAGTATTTGAGACATTTTATTTGTCTTATCAAATTATTATCCTTTGAAGTAGCAACTCTGGAGTCTTAATTTAAATGTTTTGTCACATTTCTTTGATGTCTTTTTCAGTGTGTATATTTCCAAGTGTCCTTTGTGAAATCCTTTATTTGTAAAGTCTGTATGTTTTAATATTTTTGTAAATATATAAATATTTCTATTGTACATATATGTAAAAAATAAATTTTGTTCCTGTTATAAATAAAATTACCACAAACTTAATAAATACTGTGAACTTTTATTTATATATCTTACCTGGTAGAAGGGATTAAAATTTTTTTTTTAGGATGCAGATTTGCTGGTCTTTAATCCTTTGCATGTCTAAAAACATTTCATCTTTTTTGATATGTAGAATTTATTATGTGCCAAATGGTATGTTTTGTTTTTTAATCAACTGATCCAAGTAAAAATCCCTGAAATTCCATTCCCTAGCTTCTGGCATTCATTAATCAACTTTCTATCTATAGTTACCTATTCTGAGCATATTACATAGATGAAAATATACACTTAGCATAATGTGTTCAAAGTTCATCCATATTGTAGCATGTGTAAGTATTTCCTTTTTTTGTAACTGAATGCTATTTCACTACACAGATAGCACTTTTTTTATTGTTAGACATTTGAATGATGCTTATATGAAAATTCATGTAAGTTTCTGTCTGAATATTTTGTTTTATTACTTTGCGTTTACCAAGGAGTGAATTGCTGAATGGCATGATAATTCTATGTAATTTTTTTGAGGAACTTCCAAACTTCGCAGCAGCTGCATTATTTTAGTATTGTCTAGAACCTCCATGGTGAATAGAAATATTAAGAGTGAGCCTCTAGAAGACATTGATTTCTATCTCAGTTAATCACTAGGAAAAGGTCTATTGGGAGCAGCCTATACAGAGGCCCAAATGAAAAACCTAGGTCTTTGGAAAGTCCCCCCAAAGTAATTGATGCTTCCAGCCAAATGATAACTGGGAGTCTTGTAAGGAGTCTTCCAGTCAAGCTCTTAAATAACTATGATCTCTGGACATCCTGAGTACAAACTGAGTCACCCATATAAGCTACTGCTGAATGAATTCCTCATCCCTCCCCAAACATGTTTTAATCCTAAGTTTGTTAGACAATAAATGACGAATGTAAAGTGGGCACACCCTTCTTGGGGCATTGGGCAAGAGAAAGATGAGTAGAAATCTTTCCTTGCACCCTTTGATTAGCTGCATTAATCCATATATATATATAAAAGGCTAATATGCTAAGTGTCCAGTCTGACTGGTTGCTATAACGTGCACTGACCATCAGGGGGCAAATGCTCAAGGCTGGAGCTGCCGTGACATGCACAGAAAAATAGCACCATGGGCCTGGCACCCACAAAGCAACACTTGGCTTTCCCTATGTAGGACACAGTTCCTGCCACCACCCCAGAGCTATAGCCCACCAAATCACAGCCAAAAGGTGGCCCACAGCCCAGCCCAGCCCACAACAGATGGCTGTGGGCATTAGGTGATGATGTCACGTTTTTTCGTGACATTCTGAAGCCAAAATTGTGGACAGAGTATGTCTGAAGACCAGCTATTGCCACAATGTACCTCTGAAGCCAAAAGAAAGCAATATCATCAACAGAATATGGCTGAAGAACAGTCATCAACAAGTACTACCATTACTGGCAGAAACTGCCTAGCGAACACAGTTATGGTGGAATGACTGTTACATGTCAAATTTGCCTATACCTAAATTTCTCCAATGAAAAACCACCTGATAGAGAATTTACTCGATGTGGTAGCAAAGGCAAAGTTTGTCCAAATTATATCAATTTTCCAGAATACCCAGTATATTTCAAAAATTTAGTGATAAATGAAGATTCTGACAGTAAATATTTCATGGAAAATATTCATTGTTATATCATATTAGTTTTTTATTTATATATTACGTTCATGTACATTTTATAATTTTCTTTCATCTCTGACACTTTTATAGAGAAAGGGCAAATAGTGATATTAAAATATTTCTTCTAATTAATTTCCTTTCAATGTGTACAAATTTGTGCACCGGGCCACTAGTCCTAATATGATTAGGACTTCCCCAGGACTACTCACACATGTACTAACTTGGCCTGACTTGCCATCAGTCAAGATTCACATTGGAGTATTATCTGGTGCCCAGAGTTGAGCATGTCCATATCCGGTGGCTGGGAAATTGTCATGCCCATTCACACAGCTTGAGGACCTGCCAAAACAAACAGCATATAACAAAACAAAACAAAACAAAAAAAATGATAGTTCCTCTATTAAAGTAATTTCTTACATTCATAATCTGACCCTGATTGCCAATATGCCCCCTTTCCTACAATGTAAACAACATGCCACAAGATGGTGCTCTCATAACACCATATTTTTGAGTTTGTGAAGTTATTGTAAATTGTGCTGCTATGGACATAGGGGTACATATATTCTTTCTGATTGGTGTTTCTGATTTCTTAGGATATATTCCTAGAAATGGGATTACTGGGTCAAATGAGAGCTCCATTTTTAGTTTTTTTAGCAAACTCCATACTGTTTTCCACAGAGGCTGCACCAGTCTGTATTCCCACCAGCAGTGCACTAGGGTTCCTTTTTCACCACATCCAAGTCAGCACTTGTCATTTGTTCATCTGTTGATGAAAACCATTCTGACAGGTGTGAGATGGTACTTCGCCGTTGTTTTGATTTGCATCTCTCAGATGATTAGTGACTTTGAGTACTTTTTATATATCTATTTAGGTCCTTTCTTTGCCCATTTTTGATTGGATAGTTTATCTTCCTTTTGCTAAGTTGCATGAGTTCCCTATCAATTTTGGAGATTAAACCCTTATTGGATGTATCATTGGCAAATATGTTTTCCCATGTATGTAGTGGGCTTTCTTGTCACTTTGTTGATGGTTCCTTTTGCTGTACAGAGCTTTTTATTTTGTAGTCCCATTTGTTTATTTTCTCCTTACTTTCTATTGTCCTATGAGATGTATGTGTCATGATCATGTTTTTTGTTTGTTTGTTTGTTTGTTTGTTTTTTACATGCTGGCAAAAGTTTTTTTTTAATTAAGATTGTTTCTAATAACATTGTAATCTGATATTTATCCCTTGAGATTTTACCGAAAGATCCCTCCACACCAATGTTACTCTGCAGGCTTTGCTGTGTATAAACAATGTTAACCATCTTGAATCTTCCTCAGTAGTCTCACATTTTATTCCTGAGAGGTTTCCCAGCCATTTTCTCGAGATTAAGAGCAAACTTTTGAAGAGCCCAGAATGTCAGCAAACTGGGGGCTTTGCTTCCTTGTGCATCTAACTTCCTTTTCTTTCCCTGCTTTGGTTTTCCACCAGAGGGCACAACAAGCCCATCTAATACATACTTAGGCGCAAACATTTTTAATACATGAATTTTTTTTGCACTTGGTTGGACATCTGTTATACTCTCAACAATAAAAGTAAAATTTAAGAAAAATGGGCTCTAATTTCATTACTCCGAGGTGCTATAGTTAAGAGTAGGGTCTCTGCAGTCTAAATCGAGATGCCGGGTCTGTTATCCACCAGCTCTGTGGCCCAGCCTTGTAAAATGAGACTAACGAACTGCTTCAGAGGCTTGTTCTGGGGATTGAATGAGTGTAGACACCTGGTAAAGCACTCAGAACTGTGCCCGGACTATAGTGAGTGCTAATCAGTGGGGGCTGCCAGGAATGGATGAAACTGGTAGTTCTCTTTCCTTGGGAGTTACGTGGCTGGAAAGAGTCCGAGTTGGAAGACACAAATACAGCTCATGAATACCCTCCTGAGAGTCAGGTGTGTGTCAGGCCTACTTATACACATTTCCGCCCAACGAAATAGGAGGGAGAAGTCTATGTCTCTTTGTTTATGGATCCGCCTCAAGGGCTACAACAGCGCCTGGTGCACTGGAGGTGTTACTTCAATGAAAGTAAGAGGATTTTTACTATATTTACAGGTAAGAGACCAGAGGCTTTGGACGTGGAGGTAAGTTGCCTAGGATCACACAAGTAACTGGATTCTGCTTTAACTGCACCTAAATCCTGCCCTAGCCAGTTTGTCTCTGTGGATGGAGTGTAGGCCCGCTAATTTAAGGGTCTTAGGTTGGATTCTGGTCAAGAGCAAGTACCTCGGTGCAGGCTCCTACCCAACTCATGGTCAGGCTGCCTGCAGGAGGCAACCAATTGATATTGCTCTCATTGATAATTCTCACTGTCTTTCCCTCTCTCTTCCACTCTCTCTAAAAATCGATGGAAAAATATCCTCAGGGGAGGATTAAAAAACAACAACAACACATACACAACTAAATCCTATCAAAAACCTGTCTTCTTTCCAGGGGCCTTTGCTACCTTGGAGAAAGGTTGAGAAGGTTAAAGGGTTGAAGAAAGTGAACTTTCGGTTGACTTTCATAACTGAACTGTCTGGCTGCATTTTACATGGTTAGTGGGGAGAACAGAAGGTATTCCTTTGCTAATGCCTTTCGAGGACTCTTTCCCCAGCGTCCAGATGATGCTTAGCAACACATTAATTCAGGCAAAAATTACTTAATTATTCTCAAGCAGGTCTTGCAAATATCCCTAACACATTTCCCTAAGGCACTTTGTGACC